TGAAACTTCTTTCCTTGTATCCCGAGGTAACCTTGTCAATGGTTCTGGCCAATGGTCTTGTAGTCCTTCATAAGATTGCTCCATTGTTTTCATGATGATGGTACAGTAAAATAAATGAATGATCTTGGTTTTTACTGTTACAGAAACCTTTTATGAATTATTTATATGTTTTTATAATTAAAGTACATGACAGTACTTAAATAAAAATGTGAAAAATGCATAAATGGAAAAATAAGAATGCAAAATGTGCAATTCAAAGATATAAAAAGTAAAAATACAAAATGAAAATGCACAGATACAAAATGTAAATGTATGTATGAAAAGGTGTTACCTAAGAGTGATCATCTTAGAACAGATTTCATTGAACACAAAAGCTTCAGTACATCAAACAAAACTTTTACATGTAGGGGACAACTTTCAGTCCTAACAAAACTTTACATATAGGGAATAACTTTCCCATTTTCTTCTATAAAACCAAGTTAGTTTATCAGCTTATGGGCCATATTGCTTGTATGGACTGCAGTTTCTTCCATGACATTCTGGTGTTCTTTCATCTCCTATGTCAATTCTCGGATTTGCTCATTTTCCCTTTGTGAGAGAACATTTGTGTTCAAAAAGTTTTTGGACAAGATCTTCATGTATGTTGCAACTCTTTTTCAGTTTGGTGACCCCTGCTATCCACTCTTCTGGGGTGTTTCCTATACCAGCATTTTGAAAGGCTTGACTGACCTTCTGGAAGTCTTCATGTATGGTTTCCATTTTGGTGCTCAATTTATCGTTTTTACTCTTCAAATGACGTATTTGAGCTTCAAACCTCAGCAAATCTTCTTCTCTATGGGTGCCCCTACTGATATTCTTACCTTTGAAGACTTTTGGTATTAATCTATCAGGACCCTTGGTTACCAAACTAGGTCGATCATTTACCATAAATTGTAAGGTTCCATGATCCAAAAGACTTTGGACTCGGCGTTTGAAGGCAAGACAATTTTCGATAGTATGTCCTTGAGCTCCGGCATGATATTCACAATGAACGTTGATGTCATACCAATTTGGATACGGAGGTTGGAACGGTTTTATGTAATATGGAGCTATTTCTCGTGCTTCAAGTAACTTTTCATACAAATCTTTATATGATATAGGTACAGCATCAACATGAGAAACACCTTTTGTTTTGGATTGAACCTGAGTTTTAGACGTCGGGAGTAGACCAAACTTTGATGATTTCTGATTACATGATTTCTTCTCTTCTCTGGGAGCTTGTACAGTCGTCACCCTTTCTTTGGTATCTCCATACGATTTGTGAATACGAATGATGACTGTCTGTAATTTATCTAATTGGTTAGGAATCGAAATCCCTTGCGTATCTGAAACTGCAGAGTTAGGTTCATTGAGCTCTCTCTTTCTGTGCTGGAATCTCTTTTCCTTTGGCCAAAACAGATATTCTATCCATCATCTTGGTCATCTGATCTCTTATTTCTCGTATCTCCTTTTGCTCTTCAATGGTCATACGATCTTTGGGTGCATAGCTTGCTTCTATTCTCGGAGTTTCCTCAGGATGTCTTTCTTTGGCCGCATCATATTTTGTTTGATCATAAAACTTTTTGTCCATTTACGATTTCTTTCCAATATGATGAACAGTCTTTCAAGTAAACACCTTTTGGTTATGCTATGATCATGCAATGCAAACAAAAGAAAATAATTTAAACAAATTAGAGCAAAAATAACATATATGGGAAAATAAGAAAAAAATAAAATGGTTAATACCAACTAATTGAAAGAAAAAATTTATTTATCATGGTATATAATAAATCTTAACCTCATGCTTTCTAGTTCCATGCTTTGTTTGGAAAAATTAACCTAACCGCATGATTTCTAGTTCGCATGCATTTATTCAGGGAGAAAAAATAATAATAAATTAAATAAATTAAAAGCTAGAGCTTATTTCTCCTTTGTGTACACCTATGAACAGAGGTTCAGTACTGTCTTAGATTAGGTGAATTTCTAGGGTTTATTATATGCAGAGTTTCAGTTCTAGGAGTAAAGGTACTCGAATTGTTCTTGTTGATGCCCCCTTGGGCTGTCAAACCCTCAATCCTAGTCCACTACAGACTTTAGCGGATCGAGTTCAATTCGAGAGGACACATTTCTCTATGCCTGACACGGAGAATAAATTCTCACGAAGACATAGAGCATATGAACCCCGAAAGTTACTTGCTAGGTCTAACACGGAGAATAAATTCTCACGAAGACGTCGCTTTCACTCCCACTTAAAAGGGACAAACTCAATTATAGAGCTTTATGTTATGCAAGTGTTGTGTGTGAGGAGAAATGTTCAAACCTCTAACAGATAAATAAAACAATATTAATATAAAAATAATAAATAATAAAAATTTGAAAGAAAAGAATTAAAAATTAAATAAATGAATTTTTAATTTCTAATTAATAGAGACAATTTATAATTGATTTTAAAGTTTGACATTCCCCAGCAGAGTCGCCAAGCTGTCGTAACCGGTTTTCGTCCGGGCACGAAATATTAAATTGGGCGAGAAAATTGATGTGAATGAATAATTTTGAAAATAATTTAAGAGTCGCCATCGGCCTTTTGGGTCAGGTAGGTCGAATACCTAAAAAATATCTTTTAAAAGAGTTTTAAGAAAACATCAATTAAAAAAAATTAAACTGATCTGCGTTTATAACCAAAAATTCGTTCTTTTTAGTAATAAAAAGGGATTCGTGGTCGGTTACGTTTAGGGAAGGATTAGCACCCCTACAACGCCCAAAATTGGTACTTTGCAATTATAAATTGTCTCTATTATTAAAATTTAAAAATTCAAAAATATATTTAATTCTATTATTTTCAAAATTATATATATATAAAATATTTATTTATTTAAAAATATCTAAAAAGAACTTCTAGGTGCCTTAAGACAGCTCTTTTTCTTTGATATTGATAAATAATATTATTTAATTTTTAATTTTAAAATATCAGAATAGGACATCCAGTTGTATTAAGACTGTCCTTTTCTTCGATTTATTAAGATAAATATTTAAAAATTACCATTATATATATATATTTATGAATATATAAAAATATTTATTCATAAAAATAAAAATACTATTAAAACAATATATTTAAAAACAATAAAATAAAAGAAAACATATAAAATAAATGACTAAATTACAGTAAAAATAAAATTAAAAGTCTAATTCGTAATTAATCAAAATTATAGGGATCAAATATGTTATTTTCTGATTTAATGATTTAGTGACTAAAATAAAATTATCTAAAATTTGAATTTTATAATAAAATAAATTAAAAATATAAACTAGGGATTTAAGAATTATTTATAGAAATTAATGGATCAAATCTGTAATTTATCCTAAATATATTATTTTAATATGAAGGACTAAAATAAATTAAATTAAAATTCGAAGACTAAATTAAGAATATTATAAATTTAATTTAGTGACTAAAATGTAAATTTTACAAATCCGGAGGACTGCGGACGGGGTTTAACTATTTCATAATTACGCGTATAGTCCTTCCCGAAACGACGTCGTTCGGGAAGGACTATAAATGGTCCAAACCGGCTGGCCCGAAGGGCCAGCCATTTCATTTCTTTTTTTTTCTCTCTCTAGCAGAGAGAGTTTTAAAACTCTCTGCCTTCTCTCTAGCTTCCCTCACCGGAGGGAAGCCGGTCACCGGACGGCAACCGTCTGCCGCCGTGACCATCACCGCCGGCCACCGCATCCGGTGGCCGGAAAAATTTTTCTTTACACTAATATATAGATCGGACCGTCCTAAGGACGGTTCCGGTGTTATTTCTTCCTAAAAGGCTCCCAATCGGAGCAAATCTACAAAAGTACCTTCGGTATTTTTGGTTCTCCGGCGATGTTCAGTGTTTCCGGCGACGGTCAAGGTTTCCTTGATAAGCCTCTTCTTCCTTTTCTTTCTTTTTTTTTTCTTCTGGTTCTTTGCTGCTGAGATCGTTGGTATAGTTTGTTTGTTTTTCTTTTCTTTGTCTTTTTTTTTTCTTTCTCTCCGGTTCTGTCTCTGTCTCTGTCTCTGTCTTTTTTTTTTTTTTTTTTTTTTTTCTTGTCGTTCTCTGCCGTCTGTGGCTGTCTGTTTGTGTTCTTCTCCTCCTCTTCCCTGTTTCTTGCAGGGAACGGTGGCTTTTATAGCCACCACCGGTGATGGCTTCAGACCGGTCCAAAGGATGAAAGGCCCGGTGAGTCACCATAGCTATGGTGGTGACTCACCATAGGGCTCGACGTGGACGGCTGTTATTGTGGCAGCAGAGCTTCTGGAGTCTTCTGTTGGTGTCGTCGTGGTACTGGTGTGTCGACAATGGCGGTGGAGGCGTCGGCAGTGGGGCATTGGACCACCTGGCAGTGAAGCGGCGGTTGGAAGCTTGGAGATAGCTGAGGCGGCGCCGCGTGATTGCCCTAGGGTATCATACCCTAGGGTTTTTTTGTCTGGAAGCATCAGGACCGTTGGATCTTGGTCAGATCCAACGGCTGTGAGCAATGGCGGCTGGGGCATGAGATGAGAAACCCTAGTTGGGTTTTAGGGTTTGTAAAATGGGCCTCCGGGTCCTTTGGGCTTGTAATAATTATTTAATAATAATATACTAATAATAATATTTAATAATAATAATAAATTTAATAATAAATTTAATAATAATAATAAATTTAAATGAAAAAATGATGTCTACAAGGATGACAGCAATGGGGTGTTTAAGGATTATGAACCTTAGAAACACGTAACCGGTGGTTTCTTCGGCAGTGCCACGTTTGTGGGCGGTTACGAAACCAGGTGACTTGCAGTGGAGAATGGAGATGGCAGTGTTTAACAGAATATTAATATGTAGGTGGGGTCAGTTAATTAGTTGAGTATTAACCATTAAGTAAAATAGTTTGTATATAATCAGTTGTAAAAAGACACATGATTCATAATTCAGTCTTCTCTTCTTTTTTGCACTCGTCTTTTTGACTTCAATATGGTATTAGATGACTCTTCGAATCCAGGAGATGTGGCTCATCTCTTCAAGAATGACGATACTAGTAGTGAATATTACATTCACCCAAATGAAAACTCCTCTTTAGTCCTTACTTCTGCTTTATTAACCGGTAGCAAGTATCACAGTTGGGCGAGGTCGATGAAAATGTCCCTAATTTTTAAGAACAAGCTGCGATTTGCGGATGGGTCTATCCGAGCGCCCAAGGAGGATGATCCCAAGTACTATGCATGGTTGAAATGTAACAATTTTGTGCTTTCTTGGTTGCAGCGAACCTTGAGCTCGGAGATTGGGCAAAGCGTGATGTGGATTGATAACGCGTATGATCCTTGGGCGGACCTTTTTGATCGCTTTTCTCAGGGCGACTTGATGCCGATTTCTGAGCTTCAGCAGGATTTATTTTCCCTGCAACTAGGTACGCTTTCGGTGACTGCGTATTATACACAATTGAAGATAGTGTGGGATGAAATATGCAATCTACGACCATTAAATTCTTGTGAGTATTCTGCGAAAGATTATAGAAAACAAGATTTTGTTCTTAGGTTTTTAAAGGGATTGAATGACAAATTTTCTGTTCAAAAGTCTCAAATTCTCATGATGAAACCTTTGTCCACAATTAATGCTATCTTTGCTATGGTTGTTCAACATGAAAGGTCGATTACTGCTACTGGGTCTGTGAGTGAATCTAATGTTCTTTTTGCTGGGAAATATGTTCATAATAATAGAAATCTTGTGAATAAACGTGATGACTTCGACAGTGGGAATAGTTCAAGGAGGGGTTTTAGTGCTACTAAGAAACCTACCTGCACTTTCTGTGGGCTTTATGGTCATTCTGTTGAAAAGTGTTATAGAAAACATGTGTTTCCTCCTGGCTCTAAGATTTTTAACAAAGGACAGACTGGTATAGGAAGTCAGATTTGTATTTCTACTTTAGATAATCAAGACTCATGGGGTTCTTGCATGGATGCAAAGAATAGTTCTTTTACTCTTACTAAAGAACATTATACTAGTCTTTTGAGTTTGATAAAGGACAGAGGCGCACTTGAACTGCAAATGGCAGCTTTCATTTTGTAATAACAATACAAGATCCTCGAACTGTGAGATAGTTTTGAGGATTCACTCAACATCTCTCAAAGGTAAAGAGTAAATTGAAATTTTGAGTAATTTAGGGCTTCAATTTAGTTCATTCACTTAACCCTAAACCCTAAATTCAAATAGAGAAAAGGGAAACAAATCAACAGAATTGATAGCATAAACCTCACTCTTTATAATTCTTGGGGTATTGTCTAACCGATCATTTTCTTTTGTATAGTTGAATGTTGAACTATGTTGATGATTGTACTTTAGCAGAACTGTGATTCTTTTGAGCAATACAAATTTGAATTATCTAAAAAAATAAATTCAAATAGAGGAAGAAATGAAAAAATACTGAAAGAGAGAAGAGAGGACGATGATGGGAAGATAGTGAGGAGAAAACGATGGACGGTAAGTTTTTCTTTTACTCGAAAATGAGAATTAAAAAAAATTAAATTTTATTTTTCTAATTATGTGTTATTTTTGTTTGAATTCAAAGAAATTATTAGAAAATTAAAAAAACCGACACAAGTCGTGTTTTAATTTGATACTTTATTTTTAACGGCAGTTAGAGTTTGACACTTGAAATAGTAACGAAATAAATTTTAGTCACTTATTTTTAATGAAAAATTCTTTAAGCACTAAAATATTTTTGGAAGCAAAATTCAAGCACCGATTTTTGTATTATACCTTAATTTTTTCGTCATCACTCTTTTTTCCATTTTGGTTCTTGGCAATCAAGTTAGATTGTATTTTATTTTAAACCTATGAAAAGTACATTTCGTAAGTCGTATCTTTCACAATATTCAATAAAATTTCAATAATTTATTAAATAAATATCATATAGGGCAAAGATATATCCAATTAATCAAGTTTTAATAAAAGATATTATTTTGATGAGGTTTATATCACAAATAAGTATCTAAAGTATATTGTCTTTTTCATTTAAGTATTTAAAGTTTTTTTATCGCAATAAGTACCTAAAGTTATCTTTCTGGTCAAAATAGGTACTTAAAATATTTCTTTGGTCAAAATAGATATTTAAAGTATTCAATATTTTTCATCTAAGTTCTAAGAAAGTTGACATGTGACATTAATTAAAAAATACTTAGATGCTTAGGTAAAAAATTTAATAATTTAGATACCTATTTTGACCAAAAGAATAAGGTGTCCATTTTGATCGAAAATATAACTTTATGTACTTATCTTGATAAAAAAAATAACATAAGTACTTAGATGAAAAAATGATATATTTTAGGTAATTGTATGTTGTATAAGCCTTTTGATAATTAATCGGAAATGAGTGTAATTTGTTTAGAGAACCTCGAAAGTACAAGTTATAGAACGATAGATTCTCATTTTTAAACTCTATAATCCCTTGAGCTTTCATTAAAGTTAGAAGCTTGATTGTATGCGTTTCAAGATAAGGAAGTTGAAGTTGTTAGTGAAAAATGTGAAATTCGGATAACAGAGATGGAAAAACTTGAACTTTATTAGGATAAAGTTGGTCTAAACAGAGATCTTCGATGCTAAACAAAGCATTGAGTAATATTCCTAGCGCCTTAAGACTAAGCTTAAAACGGCCGCAGAGGAAGGTTTTATTCCAATATATAAAGGGCAAAACTTCACCAAAGCATTTATTATCAACTCAGGCAAGCTTGCGGCAGTGAGTTCTAGGCATTAACTGGGACTCTGTGGCCCATTTTCTGACAAAGCCAAGACTTGTTTGGGTCAGTGTCGATGAATTTATGTACGAGGAATTCTTCTGCTTCTTGGTCGTTCAGTTCTTTGGACCAAGCCACCCGTTCGTTCCTATGAGATCCTGGTCCGAAACATCTGCAGTTTCAATATGAACCGTTTAGATTAGGGGTTCATCTTTCACAATCTGCTATGCACAGTCAAAATTTATTGATCCAAGGAAATGTACCTGAACTCGTAAAAGCAAGCGCTCTTCTCCTTTTCAGGATCTTCCCAGTTATTCCAACCTTCCTTCTTGATGCAGTTATCAATGAAAGTGTAGGCAAAGAGCACCCTTCCAAAGGGTCCCCATGGCCGCCCTAGGTATGCATACCCCGTCTCTCCGTTGCCAGTTAACACACACCTGCATCCATGTCACAACTTGTTCATAAGCAAAACAATGGAAGTAACCCTTTGTAATAGGATTTTTTTAAGGACTATCGACCTCAGGAACACATAACCGGTGGTTTCCTCGGCAGTGCCACGTTTGTGGGCGGTGACGAAACCAGGTGACTTGCAGTGGAGATGGCAGTGTTCAAAGAGAGTTGTACTATTTCCGAAAATGTAATCCACGTTTCCTTCGATATAGCAATCTCTCAAGTACTGTCTTCCCTTGTGCAGGTAAAGTGTATCCTGCAATTTTCGTTCAACAACATTTTAGCTAAAATTACAACTTAATCAACATAGTTATACATCTATATTAGTCATGAACTACTGCAATACTATGTTATTTGGACTCGAATGAGAGGGTCAGATATGGATGTATATATATATATATATTCTTTTAAGTGTTTTTAGAGAAATATAAAATGAGAGGCCAAGTACCTGCCACCCCAGAAATCGGCAACTATAGAATGCACACCGATCTCCTGATACCCTCATTGCCACAGCTTGGTGTGAACCCTGGAAGATAGAAAAAGATTAATGGAATATGAACTATGTCCCATTGCTCCCATATTCACATGCAGGATACGAGTGTCGAACGTTTAGATTTCGCTAATCCATTGTTAATAAGCAAACATTCTGATATTCATTTTGTATCTAAAAGCCCTAGCCACGTTTTCATTTTAATAACCCTAAACCGCCGCTCATCTCCTCCTCTCCTTCTCCGGTTGATCACCAGCCGCTGTCCGGCCAACGATGCCTCCTTATTCACATATGCTTCGAAAATATAGCATAAAAAAACGAGAAATTTAAGATTTTACCTCTGGAGCATTATTTTCAAAAGACATATTTTCAGCAATAAAATCGCTTCCTTCCACAATCACACTCCCAGACGCAAACGTTCCTTTCCCAATCACACTCTCATCCTTCGAAAAAGAAAATAAAAGTTACCCAATGAACAATCATCGGATAAGGAAGAACAAAAGGAGGCGTTATATTATTCACCAGGTGATGATCGGTTTTAGTAGCGGTGTTGTTCCATGTAAGAACGGTGTGCTCAGCTCGACAACCGATCATGGTGATCATCTGCCTGTCCTTGGGGATGAAAACGGGTTGCTTGTAAATACCAGGTGCCACTCTAATGATTGTTCGAGTCTTGCTTTTGGGTTCCACCGCGTCTACGGCTTCCTGTACCGTTTTGTAGTCGGCGCTGCCGCATTGTGACACCGTGATTACCCTTGGCTCCGCCATTGATCAAATAACAAAAAGAAACCTGCCTTTGAATATATGAAATGTTTGTGCGCTTCTGTCAAAATACGAAGCGGAGGTTGTGTTTTATAATGTGTGCAAGGGCTAAAAATGGTGAAGAATTGATGGATTGGAATAGAGACTGAAGCGGGAAAAATGGCAGCAGATATGGTATGGGATATTGTTTAGTATTGTTAGAGAAGTTAGTGCTATTTTATTGAAGGCTTATTTGTACAATTTGTCCTCCACGTTTGTTTTTTCCCCAATTTAACCTTTGTTCTTTTTTTCATATTACATCCTTATTATTAATTTTTTTAAATTTGTCAAATTGGTATGAAAAATCGTGTTAATTCGCTAATAATCATCATCAAAATTCTTTTCAACGAAAAACTTTTAAGACGATATCAGTTTTTTCTCACCCTGACGAAAAATAGTGTCGACAATTGACATAACGCTATAAGTGTACATAATTAAGCTAGACTAACATGATATAATTTGTTGTGTACATTAAAAAGGCAATTAATTGATTAATATTTTTATTTTTTATTTATTTTATATTATTATATTTTTAATTTTTAATTTTTATTACTTTTAATATTTTATAATAAACTTATCAAAGTTTAGGATAAAGTACATAAACAATCCTCCTACTATAAGATATATTTTTCGTTGAGTCTTTTAACTATAAAAAAATTATAACATAATCACTCGGTTTAAAAATTATTAAATTGATCTTTTTCAAAATTTAAATATAGTGAAGTTAATAAAATCAGTATAATACAAATTTGGTAAACTATACTTAGATGTTACTTTTATTTTTAATTTATTCTATTTTAGTCACTAATTTTAAAAAAATTATGTTGCTATCAGGACATCATAGACCTATCATCAATTGAAGGTGATTTTGTTTAGCCAAATTATGTAGCCTTTGGGTCTAGTTTTAAGTTACGTGCTCATCACAAACATCTTATTTGGCATATCTTGATATATTGTTATTTAGTCCTAATTTCTTTATTCCTTCGATTCTTTTTTCGCTTTAAGTTTATTCTTTATTAAATTTAAATAATATACTCCTAAACCATCGTAAAATATATATTTACTTTAAACTACTCTTTTTGAAAATAAATTTTCTATTTTTCAATTTCTATTTTTCAATTTGGTTTACTTTTCATGATTTTCTTATTTAATTAATCCATCTTTATTTTAAGTCCGTTTTTGATCAAATTTAAATCAGATGCTCTTATACCACTACAGAATACTTATATAACTTCAATTCCTATTTCTTTTTACTAAAAATGTACTTTTTTTTAATTTAGTTCCTTAACTTTGTATTTACTCAATTTGATATTTTGACTGCAATTGTTTGCAAATTGTTTCTTCTCGCCAGTTTATTGACTCTTTTATACTCTCGTCAATATTTTACCCTTACAATACCTTCTTTAAAATACAATATTGTAAATTGTATTTGATATATTAAATAACATTATAATGTAAAAAGAATTATGGTTAGAGAAAGTCAAAAAAATTAGAACCGGTTCGTACCAATATATTATAAATATTTACAATTAAATTGTACACAAACTCGAACAATTCGACTCGACTCGAATTTTATAAGGTTGATTCGAAAAAAATTCAAGTTAAAGTTTGAGTCATAAAATATATCTAATTAACTAGAATAATTCAAAAAAATTGACGACTTAACTCGATCAAATGCTCACCCTATTAGCGACTAGTGACTAAAAATGGATGAGAGAAAGATAGGTGTACAATGGGAGTCACCCACTAAAGATAGTCGTATAACTACATATAAATTAAAATGTCATATTATAATCTTACCAATTCAACGTCAAATTTGATATAAAAGTTCCGGTTGGGAGACTCACCCACTAAAGATAGGTGTTCAATGAGAGTCAGTTCAGATTAATCAAGACGAAACTTTATAATCGAGAAGTATCCAAAATAATTGATGCACTGTAAAGTTATGGATTTCAATAATTGTAATTCATTTTCATCGTATCAAAGGTGGTGGGAACACAACAGCTTTAATAAAGACGACAATCGCCTAACCTTGTACATAGACAATGGGGATTAGTTGGAAACAAACAAGGTTCAATGCATTTTGCATGAAATATCTTATACAAAAACAGTACTTTTGGCATGAAAATAATAAAGATGCCAAATAAACCATATGCCCAACTACCTTACCCATAATATGCACCGCTTTATTTAAAAAAATAAATTTCCAATTATCCTCGGGACAATTGTATATTTTAGGGTAAGATACACAAATGGTCCCCTAGTTATAAGGTAATGCTTTTTAAGTTTTTCTATTATTAAAATTTACAAAATGATCATCTGACTACAAAATATTACTTTGTTAAGTCACTTGACTATTAAAAGTTACAAAAAAAAAAGTTACTCAACTACTTGTTATGCTCATAACTCATCATTTCTCGTTAAAAAATATGATATTCTGAGTTGGATGCTAATCTGCTTATTATGATATGATAAATTTGGGATCCTAGAATTCCAAACGGCTATCATACATCAGTCATCATGTTAACCTTCAACTTAGAAAAAATATCATTTTTTAACGAAAAGGGATTAGTTTGAAACATAATGAATAGTTGGATGATCATTCTGTAACTTTTAATAGTCGATGGACTTAATAAAACAATATCCTATAATCGATGGACTATTTGTGTACTTCATCCTATATTTTATCATATTATTTTTAAAAATACATTTGAACTATTAAAATACTAATTTGAACTTGACCAACCAAACTCTTTTAAAATTTGAAATACCACGGTTGGATTAATGGGTAACTCAATCCTTAGACGTATCTAACCCTATATTATAGATTTGATTTTTGTGGGAGGGTTAAAAATAGAGCAGGTGACCCCCAAAACACATTAATGGACTGTTCTTTCCAAGACAAAACAAAATGGAGTTAAGGGTCCCAAACATAAATGATACACTTAATTGTTTTTGTTTGCTTCTTCACTAAAAGACAGACTTAAACCTTAGTTTAAATGCAATGTTTTAGTATTTTTTTTAATTAATCATTGGCATCCGATCTATTGACCAACTAATCCAAATCAAGTACGGCAGAGACAAGTACGACCCTCCCAACTCAGTTTATGTCATTCGCAAACGCCATGATTCAAATAGATAATGTACATATTTTACATGTATTCTGCAAAATAAACCCTGAAATATAACTCCATAAACCTTGGATAGAACGAATGACATTTAAATAAATAGATTGTGTAAAATAAATTGTATACCATATGTATATGAAATGTTCATATATTAATTTGTAAATAGATGTGTTTATATACAAAGAAGAGCATATATGATTAATTTCCGGACCTAATATCAACTAAAACAAAAATAACGTTTCTTGCCAATATATTACAAATTTAATTTCCAAATATAAATGAGAAACTATGTGTACGTTATTAGTTTTGAATGTTTATTTTCATAATAGCCATCACTTACCGTGGGATGCCTTGCAAAATATATATGACACTATTTGAATCATTTTCAAGAGGGAAAAAGTTTTGACAGTAACACATCAAGGGGAATTGGTTATAATGAAGTCGATTCTGATTGCTTGTACTGAAGACCTATGAGCTATATTTGTGTTGAATTCGTCCCTATCGTATTTTTACATCAATTTAGTTCTCAAAGTTGTTCAATTGCATCATTTTATACTCTACCCCTAACATAAAACCCTAAACCCTTAACAACGACCCTACTACCTCTGAATCATAAACCTTAAACCCTAAATATTAATTTATGATTTATAGTTTAGGGTTTTAAGTTAGGGACAATGTATAAAATGATGCAATTAAAAAACTTTGAGGGTCATATTAATGTGAGAATACAATATGGACAAAAATAATAAATTGGGTCTACCACGGGGATAAAGATGACCCTTAAACTCATTTTTTTACCATTAAGATCGCTTAATAAGTTTATATACAGTGCAACATATACCTATTTTATATACCTAACACGAGTGGGACTGCCTTACGGCATCTACTGCATAATGTTAACACATAATCAAAGTATGAGTACAAAATCATAATAAATCATACATAAAGAGGTAATCTTTTTTAAATGTTTTAAAATATAAAGATTGAATTTTGATAAGGTAACCTAGAAACTAAACTCAATCATGGGCAGCCTATTGTCTTTACAAAACAAGCACGGAAAACATAACTGAATAGAAAGGACAAGGAGCATGTGAGTTCTTATACCCCAGTTATGTTGGGCGATTATTTGTTTTTTCCTTGTAACTTTTGTTTTTATATATAAACAATTTAATGTGAACAAATATTGGACGAGTTGTAGAATTTAGAGCAGATTATCATTTATTCTTAATCATTGATGAACTCTTGGTTGGTGGCCTAACATGAAACACAGACACTTGCTATTTGCTAACTAATCTATCAGAAAAGGCTAAACATTAACACATGATACATGTCCAAATTAAGCAAATCAAACTTATGTATATTGTTTTAATTTTTTATTTTTTAAAATAATTATATATTCGTTTAATATATATCTATGTTCAACACTGATTCTAAATTCGAATAAAATATATGAAGTAGTCAACCCATGTGAGATAATAGTGAAAACCTTGAACGAAATTTTTAACTAAATGTTGAAGTAATCAATCTATTCACACATAAATCTATATGACAGTAATATTGTTGGATCTTGAAGTTCTTTCAATCTATTTACAGCTCTTCGATTTGTTTTCAATCTTGAAGAAGGGTGATTGCTACAATGACCACTATAGGTCTTCAGGAGCATACAGCGACCTCCATAGGTCTTCAGGAGCACACAGCGACCTATGGAGCACTTGGCGACCTATGAAGTTGTAACAGCGAAAGAAGAGAGAAGAGTTGCTGCAACAGAGGAGGCTTTGTCGCAAGGAGCACTTGGCGACCTATGGAGCACCTGGCGACCAATGAGGTAACTGTAACAAACACCCCATTTCAAGAAATAATTTGGTTAGAGCCCTATATGGGGAACTTTTTTTCCAACGCCATACATGGGCGAGGAAGCCCCTCAATGGTCCTTATTCTATGGAGGTGCTACATTGTCATTCGTCCCTCATCAGCAAAATGTAGTTGCTACTGCTGATGATGATGATGAGAGAGATGAGGAAGAACAACTTATACGAAGAAACCCTCATCGAAATAGACAACCACCACCCTGTGGAACACATTCAAGACGCAAATATCGATAGACTTGTTTAGTTTGTAATGTTTTATTTAATTTCCTTTATTTGTCAACAAATGTAATGTTTTTTTTGAATTAATCACGGGTATCCGATCTATTGATCGACTAATCCAGATCGGATACTAGAAAGGCGATGGCGACCCTCCCAACCCAGTTTGCTCCCTTCACAAACGCCAGGATTTGAACCCCTGAGCTTACTTAAGGGACCTAGTGATCCATCCCACTAGACCAATTGGTTGTTAGTTGTTTTTATTTAATTATGAACTTTTTATTTATTTTATTTGTTAATGTTTTTATTTTTTAATTGTTTGAATTGTATCATTTATATTTAATGTTTCTATTTAATTATTTTTATTATTTAGTATGTAATGTTTTTACTTAATTTTCAATTTAGTAGCCCATTACTTAGTGATGCTCAAATGACATTACTTGAAAGTAAACAAAAATGAAATAACACAAATGAAAACGAAAATACGTCGTTTTAGCCAAAGTTGTTACTAATAAATGACGCATCCCCTTTAAGGCTGAATTGATAGCCTCAGCCAAGTTGGTCGTCATGTGTCCATATTAATATCCACCATCATATGCATTTGTCTATATTTCTTTGTTGATGAGGCTAATGTAATTGTACCCTTACTTGTTTTTTCCTCGCAAATCTTGAAGCATGGACTCAAACGTTAGAGGAACTAGTTTGTAACTCGAGCGTCAAATGTATTACTTACTATTAAGTTCCCATAAAAAATTAAAATGATGGAGAAATGAAATTAGGAATTGTGACATACCCATGTGCACAAGTAATCGACGTTCATCATTCTTCTTGAACTTTCCATGATAGTTCGCGATAATATGTCGGATACAATACCGATGTTGGACATAGGGTGGTTACCACATTTGACCCAAAGACTCCATTGTTTCTTTGATCTCAGCTCCGCGATCTGAAATGACACTTTTTCCCCTCGTGACAGCAAAATATACTTAGCTTGATAGAAGGAAAAACATGATAGTAATTTTGGTGTGGTTTGATGTTTGCATTCGGGGTATTTATAGGGGAAGGGGATGGGTGAGTCGCTGAACCTCGGGTAATAATGGAGTACCCAATAATTCAAGGTGAACCATCTGTGCCTCCTGTCGCATGTCAGGTTTCCCACAAAGGCGCAGATGGTGAACCACACTTTTTCCGCGTAGTGCTAGCTCGGACAAAAACCCATGGAAGGCTTGCATGATGATCTGCGCCTTCCGTCCATGTCAGCAAATGGGTGATAGATTGGTAAAATTTAGTAGATGGGTGCCTGAAAGGTAATTATTGATTCTTTGGATGATTTTTGGGTAAAATCATATGATTATAAGGTAATATATGTTTAATCTTTCTTAGTCATTGATAATGCACGCACACCTTAAAGATAACTATTCAGATCCGAAACTTCTAAAAAGATAGCATTCTTTTGGCAAAAGGGTAATTTTTGCCCTTGTAGGTGACCAATTTATCACTTTCGTCCCGTCGTATTTTCACATCAATTTAGCCCTCGAAGTTGCTTAATTGCATTATTCTATACTCTATCCCTAACTTAAAACCCTAAACCCTAAATAATAACCCCATTACCTCTAAACCATAAGCCTTAAGCCCTAAATATTAACTTATGATTTATAGTTTAGGGTTTTAAGTTAGAAAAAGAGTATAGAATGATGCAATTAAACAACTTTGATGGTTAGATTAATGCGAGAATACGATGGGGGTAAAAATAATAAATTAGATCTAATACGGAGACAAATGTGACCCTTAAACCCATTTTTTTACTATTTAGATTGCTTAATAAGTTTATATACAGTGCAATGTATACCTATTTTATATAGGTATTGATGTTCGATAATCAGTATTAACTTACTTAAGGATAACTCTCTGATTAAAATTTCTCTAATTTTAAGTACATTGAATACCTAACACGAGTGGGACTGCCTTACGGCATCTACTGCATAATGTTAACACATAATCAAAGTATGAGTACTAAATCATAATAAATCATACTTAAAGAGGTAGTCTTTTTTAAATGTTTTAAAATATAAAGATTGAATTTTGATAAATTAACCTAGAAACTAAACTCAATTATGGGCAGCCTGTTGTCTTTACAAAACAAGAACGGAACACGTAACTGAATAGAAAGGACAAGGAGCATGTGAGTTCTTATAAACAATTTAATGTGAACAAATATTGGACGAGTTATAGAATTTAGAGCAGATTGTCATTTAGTCTTAATCATTGATGAACTCTTGGTTGGTGGCCTAACATGAAACACTGAGACACTTGCTATTTGCTAACTAATATATCAGAAAAGGCTAAACATTAACACATGATACATGTCCAAATTAAGCAAATCAAACTTATGTATATTGTTTTAATTTCTTTATTTTTTAAAATAATTATATATTCGTTTAATATATATCTATGTTGAACACTGATTCTAAATTCGAATAAAATATATGAAGTTATCAACCCATGTGACATAATTGTGAAAACCTTGAACAAAGTTTTTAACTAAATGTTGAAGTAATCAATCTATTCACACATAAATCTATACGACAGTGATATTGTTGGATCTTGAAGTTCTTTCAATCTATTTACAGCTCTTCGATTTGTTTTCAATCTTCAAATTCAATAATTCCAGAAGCAACCGAGGTCTACCGGTCCTGCAGAACATGAAGGATCTTGAATCATTTCCGGGTACGAATTCGATGCCGCTGAATCCTGGGAAAACTCTGGTTTCAGATTCTGCTTCGTGCCCCCTCCGTGACTTTGGATTAACATCTTCAATAGAGACTGGTCTTGAACCCAGAAATAATCCGGGTACTGCAAGTTTCCGATGTTCGGGTTGATTTGGTGGGTGTTGGTGTATGAAGAGTTTTGGAGAGAATTTGCTGATGAAGAACAAGGTAGAAAGGAAGTGTCGATCGTTTCTTCCGGTGATTCATCGTCGTCCATCGGATCGGAGAAGCATGTCACGTTTGACGCCTCGCCGGCTGCGACGGTTCTCGGTGACGAACCCATCAATGGAGGCAAGCCTGAAATATGTATTTTCTTACCATTGGGACTCTTTTGGAATACTCTACAAATAACCCACTCGTTCTGCAAACAAAACAAGAATCAAGAAACCACTGAAGATCCTCGGAATCGTTAAGTAACAGAGGAAAAAACAGAGACGTGATTTGTTTGTGTAACCTGAGCTGTTTTGGGGAGATTGTAAATGGAATATTGGCCTTCTAAACGGAATTCATGCATGACCCAATTGGTTTTTTCACCTTTGGGTGCTCTCCCTCTGTAAAAAACCAGAGTTTTCTTCATCCCAAGAAGTGATTTCCCTTTGAAAATCTCTCTGTCTTTGCCTGTGGCTTTCCAATAACCGGCATCGGTTGCCCTGTTCGTTCTCAGACCAGTCGGGTATTTCCGGTCCCGAACGCAGAAAAAATACCACTCTTTCTCGCCCATTTTAGCTCTCCCTGTCATTCCAACAAACACGTATCAAACATTAAAAAAAGAGGATCAAAATCAAAGCTTAAGAAAGATGCAGAGAGCATTAAGAAACTTACGAGGCAAATCCCAAGGCTCGCACTTGTTCAAATCGACCTCACCAATGGCGATGCAAGAGTATAAGGCGTTGACAACTTTCTTGGAAAGGTAGTGAGTTATCAACTCTTCATCGGTGGGGTGGAATCGAAATCCCGGTGGCAACTCCAGTTGTTCATCTTCGTTCCTTAAGCTGGATATGTTTTCCATTTTCAATCCCTGATAACCCTTCGTTTAGTTCCCTGATTTGACGGCCTATACTATACTATACTGTATGAAGAGAATCAAGGAAACCCAGTTTTAATCAGAAAACAGTGAAAGAAGGCCAAACAGTGAGGAAGAAAGAGGAGAAGATTTGAACTGAAAAGCTTGAAGTAGAAGGTGGCAATGGTGTTGAGAAGAAAAGGAAGCTGTGCGAGCAACGAGGAAGGCCCTAAATACTGGTTTTTAAGGGCGGAAAGAAGCGTGGATTGTAAGGCACTTGTGGATAGTTTCAACTTCCAATTCCATACCCGGTTCTTTTTTTCAACTGTTGATGGTAACTCAACTATTCAAACTTTAAAAAAATGATTTCTGAATTTATTTTCATTGTTACTTTAAATTAAAAAAAAATTATTTAATTGTTTGATTGATGAAAAATAATACTAATTATTATAATTATTGACGCAACAGTTAATTGTATTATATATAAAGTTGTTATTATAATGATCACTGATATTGGTGTGAGTACCTATCATATTCATATAATGATTCATGATATTTTTTATAATTGATTATTCCATTGTAATTATTTGAGGATCATATATAACACAAGATTCTTAACCTTGAAATCGTGAGATCGAGTCCTACGGATGATATTTCATAATTCGGAGGTCTTCTACGGAAGCTGCTCTCAACCTGGTGTTGGAGGCAGCCTACTATCATACCTCCCCCTTACCCCATTACATATGAGAACAAGAGATATCCATTTTTTTATATAGCACAAACATTGAATATTTGAAATAATCACGCATTTTTAGGAGCAGATGTTAAAAACTTTACAATTATTATTGATGATTAGCTTAAATTATCATTAATATTTAGTTGAAGTTGTACTTAAAATTAACTGAACGTCATTAAAACAAAAAAAACCATAATATATGTCCTATGTTTTCCTTAATTCATCTCATAAATTTCATTTCCTTTTAATAAAAAAAATAGACATAAGCATGAATCAATTTACTTCAATGATTAAAGAAATTGTTATTTTTTTTCTAGAGGTCATGGGTTCAAAAATCAGTGGCTACAGCAGGATGATTGAACGTTCATTGTCAAATGATTAAAAAAAAATTAAAAACATATATTATTTTATAATCACCTTAACTTAATCAATATATATATATATATATATATATATGATAGTAAATTTTAAAGAGTACGTATCAAACTATAAAATTAAAATACGAATGTAATTTTCGAAATTTTTATAAAGTTTTTCATTGATTTAATTTGTTTGTCACATGATCATCGTAAATAGAGAGGGTAAGCAAAACCTTAAATATCCCCTAAAACACGAATGCAATGTTCGAGAGTTGCACCATCACTCGTCAATTAAACAAATCAAAACAAATTTTGATTAGTAGTAGTTTCCATGTGAAACGACGTCGCTTCCCGTTCGACAAAAACAGAAAAAATAACAACCTCCATTCTAACATTACCTGTCCAAGTTGTGTTCGTATCAAGCTGACAAATGCATCTAACGGAACAAGAAATTAAAAAACTAAAATCGAAATCGAAAAAACATCCCATCCGATTCGAATATATACATAATCACACGATATAAATATTATATAAACGATCTATATCGATGCCATATGTTCTATTTAAGATTTAAGATTTAAGATTATATATTTAAATATTTACTTTCAATCAATATGACACATGTCTAAGTTTTATAGGATCTATTTATACAATAATATCATGAACTCAACTATTAATAATATTTCTATTAAAAAATATTAATATATATATATATATAAATGATTAAAAAAATTGGTCTGTAGTCAATTATTAGGGTGGCATGAACCAAACAAATTGAATTTTAGTTAATAAGATTATCAAACAGTTGAAAATGTTGATTTTGTCAGAAACTTAGAGATTCGTCTAAAACATAAACTCTAATTGCTCACATTTAATTTAAACACATCTTTAAATTCATACTCAGAATCTGCATATTCGTATTACTCTAATTTGTCACCTGAATCGTGTTCAAAATATTATATGTTTATATAAATTTGTTAAATAATAATTTATATGCATATGAAAAGTTTTTCGTTAAAATAAGATATTCGACTTAACACAAGAATATATTAAATATTCATCTTTTTCTCGATTATAGAAAATTATTTTAAAATTATTTTTATACTCTGTGTGTGTTTTTTAATTAATCATTGGTATTTGATGTATTAACCGATTAATTTAGATTAGATAATGCAGAGGCAGTGGTGGATTTAGAAATTAAAAAATGAGGGTCCAAAATTTTAATACCCTATTCTAAAAAAATTTGGGTTTGCAAATTTTCTTATTTTTTTCTATTCCTATTAACAAATTAAACTACATTTAACATTTTTCTCAAAATAATGAGTGTGTAATGGCTCCCTAGGGAGCCATGTACATTCGCCCCTATGCAGAGGCGAAGACGACCCTTCCGACTTAGTTTATTCCATGCGTAAACGCCAGAATTTAAACCTCTGACCTTGCTTATGTCTCATCTTACTAGACCAATTGGTTATCGGTTTATATTGTGTTTTAAAGGGTTTTTTTATCATTAAAATAAGGATTAAGTTGATTCCTTGCCTAACTGCTCTAAAGCGAGGGCCGTCCTTTGGTGATTGTTATCAACACCGAAAAGACTGTAATACCCTTGTGTGATTTTCATAAACATGAAACTGAGAAGGACATTCTAGGAAGTTAAAACATAGTTTTATGTTATAATAACGAAAAATAATCCATTTTGCTGATAAAGACGAACTTATTTCCTTGCCGGAAAAAGTTTTTAAATCATTTGAAAGTGGATCACTGTGCGCGTGGAGGAGTTAGCTAATTCGAGGAGTTTCATCCATCTTGGGAACTTTCTGGATCTAACGGGTAATATTTTATTTGAAGTCAAGGTTTGACTGGTATCCGCCACAGAAGATCCGATAAAAGATAAGCGTGAAAAGTACAGTTGGATAGATCTAAACATCGTCAAGACTGCTGTGTTTTGACACCTATTAAGTAAACAGCACATAATTGGTGTATATATTAGAGGGTAAAATACATCAATAGTCACTAATTTTTGAGTAAATTTTTGTTTTTCCTATTGAAGTTTCAAAAGTAACAAACCAGTCACAAGTATTATCGGTTTGTAACAAAATTGTTATTCTACCGTCATCCCTATTAAATTGATGATGTGATAACTTTAACACAAAGGTTAATGTTTCATTTTACCCCTAAACTACTGCTAAAATATCAAAGAGGTCCTTGAACAATGTATTTATAACTAATTTACCCCAAAAGCTTTCTAATTTTTAATTTTTCCCCAAATACCCCACCACCTCCATTATATTCCAACCACACTCCTTACAAAAACAAAAAACACAAACAATTATGAACAATATCCTTGGTATTTGATTCAACCACATTTAAACAAAACATTTATATTTAGACAATAAGTTGTCTTCTCTTTTGTTGAAAAAAGAGAGAGTGAAACATCATGTTATTTTTTTATGTTTCATTATATATTTTATGTAACACCCTAGACTAATACGACACACAATTGATCGATTAGGATGCTACACTAAACCACCGAAGTGGCTAACCAAACTTTTTCTCATTTATTTTACAAAAAATATAATTAAATTGTACACTAGGGAGCTCACAAAATAAATATTTACATTCATAAATAATAATATAGATCGACTTAAAAATACATTTACGACTCAACTTTACAATAGGGTTCATAAATATACATGGCCTTCAAAACGTTGAGACGTACTCTGATCTGGACCTAGGCCACTCTAAAGCTCCTTGGTTGCTCCACCTGATATGTATAAGGAAACAAATTTCAAACGCTGAACTAACTAGCTCTGTGCCACACTAACAACTAGATCATACTAAAAGTGTATCACTGAAAGACTCAAGCTATCAAGTCTATTGTTTTACTTTAGTGAATATACATTTATACTTACTCTTTACTCTATGGTAGACATCATGGTGCGGTAAGGGTTCCATATCTCGGAGCTCACACACCCTTCTAGTCTACCGAGGATGATGCCCCTGGAATTCTCTATATCGGACACCATACCCTCGACTAACCTACCCCTTGTGAGTGTCAGGCCTTGGCCTTAGTTAGTCAGCTTAAAGTGTCTTGCGCACTCCTTAAAGATATATACAAACCGAATCTATACTTTCAACACTGCTAACTTTTCTAAAAGAACTCGGGTGTCCTGATCGTTTCCCGAGTATACAACCAAAGCTAGTCTTATTTCATTTATCTCGTTTTTATGTTTGAATTAAACATTATTATTGTTCTCACTTGTATATTATTTGAGAGTAATTAAAGCTTTTGGGAAACTTCACTTACTTTTATAACTCCCCTTGACTTTAAAGCCTCAACTCTTAACCTTGGTATCGATAATAACCTTACAGTATCGATACCCTCTCCTCAGTATCAATACCCAACATAAGGTATCAATATACTAGTTGAAATGCCTTGAAAGAAAAAGGAATTATCGACACTCATATGAGAGTATAGATACTAGGACCTTGAGTATTGATACTCGCTAAAGTACCGATACCAAAATAGCCTATTAGAATCCCGGTCTTGATACCAAGCCCTTCTGTCTTGATACCGAACCCTCGATATCGATACTCCTATAATGGTATCCATATTGTTCTTCAAAAACTTTCAATTTCATGCTTTCCTTATGAATAATATCGATATTGTTTCAAGTATCGATACCAACCCTAAAAAATACCCTATTTAGGCACGAATTTACCACCCAAACTCCCTAATTTCCCATAAAAATCTACTAACATGCTTCAATCTTAACTTTATAGCTGAAACTCATTTCTAATGATCCACAACCGTTATATGTGAGTAATTGGGGGTAATTAGGGTATAGATGTGACTATATAGCAGGTTTGGAAGTGAGTGAGGGGGGTTTTGGTTGTCCATTAGGGTATAAGAGGGAAGGTGAGTAACTGGGAGTTGTTACGGTATAGATGTGACTTTGTATAGGGATTGATCAAACCAAGAAAATTTTAGGCTTTAAGATCTGTCTTTTTCATCAACAGTCTCACTGGTTTTTCTGGCTTCTTGTTATCGAATGTCATATAAGAGTGCTCAATTTTTGCTGTCTCCTAATTAAATTCATTATCGATATACTTGTTACTTGGGGTTGATAGCTTAATATAAGATTAAGGAAAACCTAAAATGTTAATTTTTTAACATTTTTGGTTCAACCGAAAATATTATAAAAAAAATAACATTTTTAGTTATAACCTAAAATATTACGAATAAGGTTTATACTTAAAAGAAGAAGAAATCAATATTTTAGGTTGCGCTCAACCTAAAATGTTATGTTTGTTTATAACATTTTAGGTAATGCATTTTCTTATCCTTATATTAAACTGTTGTACCGTAGAATTTCCCTACTTTGGGTAATAAGAGTTTGATATAGGGCTGTAAATGAGACGAGACATATCGCGAGTTATTCAAGATCGATTCGGTCAAAGTTCGATAAATACTCAATTCGAATGATCTTGACTCAAGCTCGGGATCAAATCGAGTTCTTACCGAGCCGAAACGAGATACTTGATACTCAACTCGAAAAGCTCGTGAGCAGCTCAAAGATATAATATATTAAGATTTTAATTTTTTAAAAATAAATTATTAATAATACTAACATTTATGTTTTTATTTTTTAAAAATACAATATAAGGTTTTCATATACTTAAGGTTCAAGTTTACATTTGAGTTTGAGGCTTTAATCGAGTTAAGTTTAATTTTTTTTTCTTTTGAGCCTTTTCGAGCTTTTATTAGCTTCAGTTCATTATTTCGAGTTGAGTTTGAAAATTTTAGACTCTCGAATTTTTGAATCTAGTCGAGCTCCATTTCAAAGTTTTTGAGTCGAGTCGAGCTCAACAATACTCGAGCTCAACTCAGCTCGTTTACAACCCTAGTTTGATATTTGTTAGGTTAGTGTAAATTATAGGAATAGTCTATTATATTTATATATTTTTGCTTATTAAACTGTTTATCTTTATTTTTTTTTGTAATTTTAATTATCTTAAATCATGTGTTTTAGACTCACTAGGAACACTCTTTTTCCTTCCCTTCTAGGTAGGATTAGGATTATATTTAGAATTTGTCAAATAAAATTTTAAAAACTTAAGTTTTAATTATCCACATTATTGTTTTATTAAATTTTGATCATTGCAACGTTGAATGACATTAGTTTGATGAACATATTTAAAGTTTCAGTGACCAAAATTTAATAAAATATTAACATAAATGATTAAAGGTTTAATACAAAAATAAGTTCCTAAACTATATCTAAAATTGACTTTTGATGCCTAATGTTTTCTTCGCTACAATTTTAGATACCTACCATTAAGAAAAATAATTAAGTGACACGTGCAACGTTTATATTTTTAAAAAATAAAATATTATTTAAAAATATATATTTTTTAAAATATGAGTGTGATACATTATACTTAACGAATTTTTTTATTTAACGGTAAACAATTAAAAGTGTAACAGAGAAAACATTATGCACTTATTTTTTATGAAGAATTCTTTTGACTCCAAAAATAAAATTTGAATATAGTTTAGTCACTTATTTTTATATTAAGCCATTATCAAAACTTAATTTTTCTAAGCTTGGTGAGTAGAACTGTAGAAGTTTAAAAAATAAATTATCATTCTTGTAGTTTACCCAATTAGTTAAGATTTTGAGTTTTGTAAGTAGAGTAAATAACTTTGAAGATCTTTATTTTATCATGAAGGATTTAAGGTTTGGGATGGACGAGATTTCCCATTACTAGTAATCAATCAAACCTCCATAGGATCTAGCATACTGCCTTTAAACTCCTTGATAAATCTGTGTAAAATGTAACCAAATTTCAATTGCCCAGAAAGTGTTTGAGAGAATGCCCCAAAGAAAATTTGTTTTATGGTGTTCCATCGTGGCAGGGTATTTGCAAACTGGGTTTTCATTGGAAATGTTAAACTTGTTAAAATAATAATTTTGGTGGATAGTTTGAGGCCTAACGAGTATGCTTTCTCAATGGGAAGGCTTTAGAGGGTATACAGTGCCATGGTTATGTGATCAATTCAGGGTTGCTTTTGCATTAATGCATTAAGAATATGCATTGATAAATATGTATTCAAAGTCTTCTGTACGAGTGTTATTAGACTGATTCAGAAAAAAGTAATCTCCATTAATTTTACAAATTCCTGAAAATCTATTCTGCCATCTCTATTTACATCAAACTTATTGATCATTTTGTTGCAATTCTCAATCTTTAAACCTTCCTTCAAACCCAAAACACACACAACTCTCTGCAACTCATGTGCATCAATAAACCCATCTCTATTCACATCAAACACATCAAAAGCTCCCTTCAACTCTTCCAAGCTCGGCTCTTCTTCTTCAAACAGCCTGGGAAGCTCATCAGAACCAAATGATCTGTTTAGCTCCTCACTTTCTTTGCTGCAAAAAATCCCCAGGTTCCCCATCACCTTCTCCACATCTTCTCTGCAAACTACAACACAATCTTCCTTGTTTTCAAAAGAAGCTTCTTCGGTTGAAGAATCAAAATTCTGGGGTTTCTCCAAATTTGACGAGGCCTTTGAGCTGCCATGTTTGGATTGTGGGAAAGACAAATAACTTGAGAAGGAACTTTTAAAGGTGTTATAACATGTCAAGCTAAGAAACAAGTAGATCATACTGATATCAATGAATGGAAATAGGGCATAGTCTGATGATGTCTCCATTTTGTAAGACCCGAAAGAAAGGAAAAGTAGAAGTATTTGATTTTCTGAATTGTGAAAGAAAGTGTTGAAGAAATTTTGATGGAATGTTGAGGTTTGGGATTGGGGTATTTAAAGGAAGCAGAGGCCTTGGTCAAGTTTTTCTAAGGGGAAGTTGCCTAGGATCCAACCAAGAGACCACCTAGGAAACATGGTGGCCTTGGCTGCCTTTCTCTTGTTTACATGGAACGTGTCTGGTTTGTTGCTTGGAACTTGCCGCTATACTACTTTGTAGGAAATGGCCTTTGTCAAATAGCTATTTTGTTTTGTCTTTTTTATTCTTGGGTAAACTACATGCATAGTATTTAAACTATCACTTTTGCTCTTTTTTGACATCTAAACTTTCATTTGTTTCTAACTCATGTATAACACTTATTTTTTTATTTCATTTTAGTATCCCAACATTAAAAACTTAACCGGAATATTGTACGAGATATTTTTATGGGTAAATTACATCATTCGTCACTCAACTATCTTCTCACTCATATTTTGGTCATTAATTTTTTTAATTTAATCACTTAACTTTCAAATTACTTCTATTTTAATCACTCTAATTTATTTTATTATTAATAAAAAAAAATTTTACTAATATTTTATATGATGTGGTATCCTTTTAATTATTATTTTATTAATGTATGAATAAAATAAAAAAGGGAAGGGACGAGTTCGAGAGGTCAAAAAGAGTGAGTTGTGAGCGTGGGGTGAGTGATTTGTGATTTAGGATTTGTGGTATAATTTTTGGGTTTAAGTATAATTTTAAATTTAATTTTTTATTTAAATTATATATTAAAAATAATAAAAATTACACATCACAAAAATATTAATTAAATCAATTAGAGCGATTAAAATATGAGTAATTTAAAAGTTAAGTAGTTTAATTGAATCTTTTTAAACTTTAACAGTCAAAATAAGATTGAGAATATATAGTGATAAATGATTCGTCACTCAACTATCTTCTCACTCATATTTTGGTCATTAATTTTTTTAATTTAATCACTTAACTTTCAAATCACTTCTATTTTAATCACTCTAATTTATTTTATTATTAATAAAAAATTATTTTACTAATATTTTATATGATGTGGTATCCTTTTAATTATTATTTTATTAATATATGAATAAAATAAAAAAGGGAAGGGACGAGTTCGAGAGGTCAAAAAGAGTGAGTTGTGAGCGTGGGGTGAGTGATTTGTGATTTAGGATTTGTGGTATAATTTTTGGGTTTAAGTATAATTTTAAATTTAATTTTTTATTTAAATTATATATTAAAAATAATAAAAATTACACATCACAAAAATATTAATTAAATCAATTAGAACGATTAAAATATGAGTAATTTAAAAGTTAAGTAGTTTAATTGAATCTTTTTAAACTTTAACAGTCAAAATAAGATTGAGAATATATAGTGATAAATGATGTAATTTATCCACAAAAATGCCACGTACAATAATTCCATTAATTTTTAAGTGACGTTACTAAAATGAAATAAAAAATAAACATTAGCTATGATTTTTTACAAATGAAAGCTTAGGTACTGAAACAAAATAAAGGTTATAATTTATATACTAAACATGTAGTTTACCCTTTTTTTTCTTTTGTTGAGCATGAAGGTTTCTTGGAAGTGAATACTGACGTGTAATAGGCGCCAGTTACATTCGCGTTTTCCACCACCCCATTGACTATGACTGGGATTTATTTTATTTTACGACTTTAGACAGCATACTAGGTCATAAAAATAGTGACAATTATTATCTATTACTTATTTTATATTTTAATTATCAAATTATTTTTTTTTATAAAATCGTCACTAATATTTTTTTTAATCATTGGTCATCTTCAAAATGTTATTAGAGAAAATTAAACTTACGATCCTAGTAAAAGAGATTCAATGTTTATTAAATAATATAATTGTTATAATTTCAATCAAATTAATTTTTTAACTTGAATTTTGATTAAAACTGAATATCAAACTACGTAGCATTTTCATTTCATTTATATATAAAATTAATTAAATAATTATTTGTTTATTTTATAATTTTTTAAATTAATAACTTGTACCTGATCTATTGGTCAACTAATTCAGATCGGACAGTACAAAGGCTTGGGCGACCCTCCTAACCTAGTTTACTCAATTTGTAAATATTAGGTTTAAACTCATGACCTTACTTAAGGGATTTAGTGTCTCATCCGGATAAATCAACTGGTTATTGGTATAAAATTAATATTAAAAAATTTAAAAAATTAAATTTATAACCTTTTAATATTAAATATAAAATATTTACTTAAATAAATTACAAAATGTAGCGAAAATACCACGTGGTTTTGTTTGGGTGAGGCTCAGCAAGGCCGCTTGACCTTGAAAATTTATGAACACTGATCTTTGAGCCAGATTTGGACTTCAACCTTCAAACACAAGTTACGGTTGACTCGTTAATATTGTAGTAATAACTAAATTATACCATTAATCATTAAATTTCGGTAATTAAAAAGATTACAATTATTTTTAGAAATTACGGATTTGAATATCAATAACTATAACAATATGATTGAGTGCTCATTATTAAACGGTTAAGAGTATTTAAAACATATATTATTTTATAATTATTTTAATTTAATAAAAATACCGTGATAAAAAATATTTTAAATATTAAAATAAAATGATCTTGGATAAACATAAACCCGATATAGAAGCGGCCTAATCCGAAGATAAACTCTCTCTTGTCGATAGTTCTTCGACAAAGACATTTATTGAACTGCTGAAAATTCAAACAAACCAGAAATGAAAATTGCAGCTATATTTCTTTTTCGCTTGACCCAAACACATGCATACATAAAAGGATAAATCACAGAAATAATCACTTTTGTTTGAGTTGTATAATTTTTTTTCACTGAATTAAAAAACATATAATTTGGTCACTTTCGTTTTGTTTTGAATAAGCTTAAGCTTAACGATCGTTAAATCTTTAACGATTTACTAGCGTGACACGATAAATGTATGAAATTAAAATTACACCATTTCCACTTAGATAATATGTTGATTAAGTTATGGTCACTTTCCTTTAAAAAACTTAAGTTTTGGTCACTTACGTTATCATTTTATTAAGTTTTGTTAGTTTAACAACGTTACCTGTTAGTAAAATGGTTTAATATTTATTTTAACCCCTAAACATTAAACAAAATACCGATCATGAGTCTTTTTTGTAAATTTAAATTAGTTTAGGGACAACATTTCAATTTGTCCACTTAAAAAAAAATCTCCCCAACCCCCAATATTACTCATATTCTCCTAGCTTATTCTTCAAACATCTCTACTCCATTACAATAGCCTTATTGTTTCTAATTATCAGTAGTAATTATTTGAAGTCAAATTAGATAGGTTTTCAGTTGTAAGAAAAGGTATAAAAAGAAGTAATGAATATCATAAAAATTGTAGAGAATTCACCATTAAAACTCTAGAAAGATTGACCACCACCGCGAAGCCACTGCTTCGAGTTTTGAAAATTATAGCTTCTTTAATGGTGGCGTTATTGACGACACAGTACCATGTTTTTATCTCTGATGCGTTGTTGACCGACGAAATCCACGTGATACGAAATATCGTCAATAATGTTTCGTCGCATCCGAACGTGATCAACTCAGTTGTAAATTGAAATGTTGTATCTAAACTAATTTAGGTTTATAAAAAGACTCATAATCATTATTTTGTCTAAAATGTGTGTGTTAAAATAAAAAATTAAACCATTTTACTAACGGACTACGTTATCAAATTAAGAGCATTCAACATCCAAATGACAAAAACTTAATAAAACGATAACGTAAGTGAATTAATCTTAACAAAACATTATGTTTTTTAAAGGAAAGTAACAAAAACTTAATCTATATATTATCTACGTGAAAATGATATAATTTTAATTTTATATATTTATAGTGTTATATCAATAAGTCGTTAAAGGCTTAATGTTTGTTAACTTTTAATGACCGTATTCGAATTAAAAGGACAGAAAAGTGATCAAATCTTACTTTTTTTTATTCAGTAATAAAAAATTTACAAAACTCAATCGAAATTAACCATTTATGTAGTTTACCCTAATAAAAATTTACTTACTGTGACAAAAGACGCGCTGTCATTTTATTGACTATTTTTATGTAAATACGAAATGGAAGATCAATGGAAACAGCAGCATCTCTGAAAGTCAACTAGGGTTGTGGAGGAGGGCAAAATATGTAACCAGTTCTGGGGTTAGTATTTGGCCCTGGTTCTTTATAATCCCTCAGTTCAATCATCTCCCTCCATCTATCTGCAAATTCCTGTTAGCCAAACATAAAATTTATACAATGAAAACCAGAATTACAGACAAATACTAGAAAAAAACCCAAGAAAATAGATAAGAATCGACCTCTGATTGAGCAGTGGATTCTTCAAGCTCAACATTCTCCATCAATAATCTGCCGAATCCTGAGAATTGACAACCGAAAAGGGATGTATATGAGTAGAAAAAAATGAAAAATGGTGGGAAAAAACATCAAATAAAACAAAGTAATAACTTGAGAGGAGGAGAGAATCAAAAGCATTGAAAGAAGAAAGAGTTTGAGGAACCAAAAACGACCCATTGTTTGTTTCAGAAACCAGGGAAATGGGTAGCTCTCAGATTTTATGAAGATATTGTTGAGTCCTTCTACGAAGATGCGTCCTTCTACGAAGATGCTAAGCTTCGGTTTTCAGGCTTTTCAGCTTCTTCAGATCCGATGAAATTAATGATTTCTAACAAGGCATATATATTTAGTTTCATATTAATAGTTAAAGGATAATAAACCATATAATATCAGTTAATCATGTGGATAATTAACAATTTAATTCAATTCAGGATAATTTATAGTGCTTAGTGGCTGTTTGTTTGGCTCTGAATGGAATCGTTCAGCGCTGAATACTGAACCGTTCAACATTCAGCGTGTTTGTTTCTCACCTCTGAATGATTTAATGTTGACTGATTCAATAAAACAGTGCTGAATGATTCAGCATCAAAGTACATTCTGAATGATTCAGAGCCATTATCTATCAAACAACATGTCACATTCAGAGCTAATTCATACAGAACCTCTGAATCATTCAACATTTGAATCATTCGACGCTTAATCATTCTGAAGTAAACAAACAATCCCTTAGTCTGAAATAATTATTGTTATATATGGCAGTGCACGTGTGTTTAGTTTCCACACGTGAAAACCCCATAAGTGCCTTCCATGTGAAGTGAAATGGAACTAGAACTAGAAGTACCACTTTATGATCAAGGAAAACAAAAGAAGAGAAAAGAAAGAACTTTATGATGAAGTTTCTTCCTTTTTGGTGCTACTTGCTTGGATTCTACGGTTAGGGAAAAGGAAAGATCTTTCGGACCTTTTCTGATTAGAATTCGTCTGTGTCTCCCAAGTTGCATATATTTATATTCCACAAATGATATGATTCTTGAAATACATGAACACACACAGCTTTCTATATCAGTTCATGAGAATCAAATAATCTGCTTTCTAGATCTTTAAGAAAGTACAGATTTAAGAAAGAAACTTGAGTTCCCAAATTTATTTAAATACAAGCGGGATTTGGGATTTATGGTACAGAGACTTACTTGGTCCTACCTCTCACCATTTCATATATGCTATGTACACAACTCTGCAAACCATCTAACTGAAAAACCTGCTCATACCATTTATGTAAATATGAGGAATTACAAAAACAAAATTAAACCCAAAAAGGAAAATCAGTTTCTACTTGAGCTAAACACCCTGCCTTCAAACCATACGATATGACTCTTCCTTTGTTCTCCTCGTCCTACTTTGAGAGTTGGTTATGTAGGAGGGGGTTGGTGAATGAATATGACCAAGTGGCTAACGAAGTAGGACACGATTCGTATAGTAGTTAACACCACCAAGTTGTAAGCAGGTACCGTAAGCAATTAAAAGTCGTAATTTACACGATTATGAGCTCTCGTGGAAGTTTATTGACCTCAACAATGCTGCTGGGTTTGCCTGCAAGACCGGAGAGGTTTCAGGAATGTGGTTCCTTTCATCACCCTTTGATTGAAATGCTTTGAAGAGTCCTCCGACACCTATTGAATCAGATTTGTCATTCTTAATGCCAAGTGTTGCCCATAGAGAACTCTTTCCTGCTTCTCCCGGGTCATCGATCCTCAATGTTTTCGGAATCCAAAGGCTTCTCTCAGCAGCATTATTTTCCTTTACTGGCTCCTCTTCTCCAGAGTTGCTTGGCTTGCTCATGTTCTCGTCTCGTGAATGTTTGCCCAAGGTAGGAGAATCAGGACCCGAACTTGGGGCTGATTGCTTTGGAGTGGAAGGCTGAGGCTGCCAAGGAGCGTTCCAAGTGCCTAGTGCGTTACAACCCCAGTAAGCAGCTGCAGGATAGAAAGGCATTGGAAAGCAGCCCGGAGGGCAGAAAGCAGGTGGAGGTACAGGAGAGCCCCATTGAGCTCCATTCCATGGGTAAGGCCAAATAGCCCCTGGATAGCATGGCATCTGAGGTGGAAAACCCTGACAATTCTGCATCGTTTGATCTTGAGACCCAGCTTTACCTGCCTCATCCTTTGAAGTCGAGCCAGATGATCCATTTTAACACTCAACCCCGTTTTCTCTACCTCTAAAAGGAACATGAATTTTCAACCCCCCAGGCTTATGAAATCCATTCCGTGTGGTGTTATGCATTGTTTTATCTGCAAGGTTCAAAACAGAAACCATTGATTCACAAAGGGGTGTGTCCGAGCCAAAGGTCAGAACTGTACCATTAGCTTTTAGAGCCGGATGGTGGACTCCATTAGGAATCTCGGTATGAGCATTCTGAAGAGCTTCAGAGACAACTATGTGACGGTAGTGAGACACTGAATTCTTGTTCTTGCGACGTCCAGCTCCCACAGGCACATTTCTCATAATCCCACCAGCTGTCCAGTATCTTTGGCAGTTCTTGCAAAAGTGTCGGGGTTGATTGACATTGTAATTGTTGTAGTAACAAAACTTGGTATCCATGCTGTTGCAGCGTGGGCAAGGAAGAATTTTAGTAGGTTTCTTCAATGTTTTTTCTTGCGGATTACTTGTTTCACTTTGATCTTTTTCTGTTTTTGACGTTTTTGAACCCGTGTTCTCCTTTTCGACAGAAGCCGTTTTAGAGTTGTCAGTTGCTCCGGAGATTGCCTCCAAATTTGTAGACTCTCCAGAAGTAACTGGAGGAGCACTTTCATCCTCTTGAGATCCGTCCTCCTTTCTATCTCCATCTTCATGCTCAATGCCTGTTGTTTTGTCTCCCACGGCGTCCTGAATAATTCGGAGGAAGTAAAATCAGAACAAAAACCAAAAGTAGTTGAAAGAGCATGATCATCATACATAACTAACTGCATTTTCTTTCCATTTGCTACATAGAGAATCAGTTTCACGCCAATAGCAACCACCATTCCAACAGCTATAAATTAAATTCGGCTATATAACTCGCACGAATAATATACAAAAAAACAGAAAAATCAATAGGGTAAGAGGAAGATCGAGCTTTTACTTGATCAGAAAGACAGCGTAAAATAAATTTGTGCTTGGCATGGTAAGGAACGCTGAAAGTACTGAAACGAAAGCAAAACATAACAAGGAACAGGCTTTGAATTTTGTTTTGGCTTTTATTGTGATGATCCTAATCATAGCTTATCATCTTCATGGAAATCAGTGGAAAGAAATCCATATAACAAACATCTCTCACAATTCACAAGCTATAGAAGCATTCAACCAGATGAAATGGAGCTAAACTACCAATTTCAAAGAAGCTAGCCAGAAAATTTTCCAGGAAAAATGGAGAGTGGTGACACCCTGAAATAGCAAAATATGAAGAAGAAGAAAACTATAATCCAGCAGCCAGGGAGCAAGCTGCCATATAAACACAGCCAACTAAACTAACCGAAAATCAATTAACCAATACTTTGTCACGAATAATTGGATTATGCTTGAGAGAATATATCGAGAAAGCCAATCCTAACTGCGAAAAACCTCAGCTTTACTTAAACCAAGATCCAAATTTTAACCAGTCCCCTAACAAATGGAATATAATTAACATTCAAAAGACAACGATTTTTATAGCCAAAACAAATCATCAAAGACCAACTTTTTTTTTTCATTTCCATATTTTGAACAAAGGGTATTCACCAAAATCCCCAAAACAAGAATTTAAAAAGAAAATCCCTGACCTTTTCAGCTCCTTCTTCTCTCTCTTCCTCTTTGTTTTCCTCTGGTGAAGAATTTGTCGAGCAACAATGACCTTGATCTTCATCAACATTATCATCGTTGGTGATATCATCACCCCAAGTAACACAAAAGTCACCCTCTGATACTTTCGGAGATTTCTCAGGCAAAGCGATCATTTTCCCAAACAATTTGATCGCCGGATCTTTTGGTTCCGACATTTTCTGTGTTTTCCCCCTGTTTTTTTCTTTTCTTTCTTTTCTTTTTCTTTTCCTGTGACTTTTTTTCTCTTCCCTAAATCCTTAGCCAACACAAAACTAAAAACTGAAACTTTCTAGAGAGAGAAAGTTTTGTAGCAAAATCTGACTGCTATCATACAAAACTTTTATCGTCACCAAGACATTAAAATAAAAACAAAAACTTTGGTTATAAAATAATATACATATACATATACACATACATATACACATACACATACACATACACATACACATACACATACACATACACATACACATACACATACACATACACATACACATACACATACACATACACATACATACACATACACATACACATACACATACACATACACATACACATACACATACACATACACATACACATACACATACACATACACATACACATACACATGTAATGCTGTCTTCAAAATAGTTTTCACCTCCCACTTTTTTGTGTGTGTGGGTTGGTTTGTGGGAATAAAAATAGTAAAGATAAATTACGATATCGGATCAAGCACTCGAAATATTTGGTTCTATGGTAAAGAAAAAAGAAAAGTGTATAAGAGATGATGGTCCCGTGGAGTCTACGTTTTAGATTTGTTTAAACAAGTTGATATGCCACGTCCGCATAAAGGATCATTTTCATCCACAATTTCTTTGTGGCCTTAAAAGGATCTTTCTCTGTCCTTTTTTTTAGAATATTGAAGCAAAAGCTAATTTGGGTTTAATTCCACTATAAAAAAATCATTTATTTATAGCTTTTTGGCGTAGTTTGTGGCTGAGGATTTAAGTTGGCCCATTGCTCCACTTCCCAGTCCTTCCATATCTTTTTCTATGGTTCATAAGCTTATTCTTTCTTAATCAACTCTTTTATATATGGAAAAAAAAACCTCGTTGCTTGTTAAATGTGGATAAGGTGCTACAGCAATCCAGCATTGTATAAAAAAATAAATTAATTTATTTTTATTTTTGTACTCTTTTAAAATATTTATAAATCTCACAAAAAAATCATAATATACCGTATAACAATAATATTTAAATAATTATTAATGCTTCACGGTTAACATAAAATAATTTTTAATTAAAAAAATTAACCCATAGGAAAAAGAAAATCCATGTCAGCGTCCGGTTTTAAAAGCACCGAGTCCGTGGGTCCCACAAACCATCCAGGATCGTAAAGACCACGTATTTTGCCACATCAGCGTCAAATTCTCGCGTGGACCCCGCCTCTCGGGGGAAAAAAGGGAGTAAAGTGAGAAAAAAAGGCCGTGCCAAGTGCCAGCTGTTTTCGATCAATTAAAAGTAAAATAATTAATAAGAAATCGTTTTCTCACACGTGTGGAACAAGGGGGCGGGGAAGAAGAGTCTATCTTCTCGTGGCCGAGAATTCTCCTGGTTGAGTGGAGGTTTAGTTTAGGTTTGGGGATGACACGTGTAAACCATCAAAAGAAAGGTTTTTTAGATGCTCTATACTCGTGTGGGATATTATGATTTGGAGAAGTTGGATGGGAAACAAATAAATAAAAGGCGTTGCAATGCACGTGACACCAAAAATGACTAGCAACTGTATTACACGTTTCCTCCACCTATATTTTCAATCAGTTTTTTTCTTTATTTTTTTAATTTTTTAATAAAAATAAATATGTCTTTGTGAAATGTTCTATGTATTTATAACACGTTTATCTCTACTTTGTGGCAAGTTTTTATCTGCATTTTGGTAGCTTACGATTTTTTTATCGTTTTTTCGTTTATCTTTTTTCACAGGGTTGAATTTGACATTGCCACGACTGATCAAAATAACGCTTATTTGTTATCTTGTTGATCTTCCCTACTTTAGACCATTGGATTGATTTGGATACAAGAACAAAACTGGAGATTGGTAGGATCTACAAACTTTGCATTACCAACGACGAGAGAGAAATGGAACTCAATCGTCAATCGACAGCGCAACGGTGGAAAAAAATGGTAACATGATCTTTTAGTGAATGATACCATGTAAGAGATCTTGCAGTTCTAGCGCGGTGGTCGGAGGCTATCAAACGACATCAGTCAATGAAGAAGAAAGCTAGTAACTGTTGTTCGGTGAAAAACATATAAAAGGAAAATAGAGTTTATTACTAAATTGGATATAAAATGAATTACAATGGTTTCATTTAATCCTCTATATTGCTAGGCTTATATAGTCCACTAATAATTTGTTAACCAACCAACTGAAGTGCTTACATAATAACAAATACTAACTAATTTTATTAACATTTTAATATTCTTGCAAAGTCTTAATGAAAAAATAATACTCAAAGTATATATTTAGTATTAAAAATTCGTTAAAAATAAGTGTTTCATATTTCTGATGTTATATTTTTAGGTATCTGAACTATAACGATCGTTAAATTTAGTAGTTAAGTGACACTTGTCAAGCTTATAAATTTTTATTTTCTAAAAAAAAACACTTAGAATTGTATTTTTAAAAATGTCAATATGTTTTTGAAATTAAAAACATCCAAAATCTCAAAAAATTATAATTTCAACCTTTTATTATTGTCGGTCGCCAACAATGCGGCCAATCGGTTGAAACCCCAACGATGTTCGCTTGCTTGAACCCCCAGCATTCGAATTACCTTGCTTCACGCGGTGATTGCAACGGAAAATCGACGATGTAATAACCAAATAATTTCAACAACATGCTACAATTCCAACAACGATTCAAGTGATGATTTCTTCCATCGTGCATTGCACTATGATTAAATAGAGTGTCTGACGATAAAAAGAAACGACCGAAACAACATTATTGACGGGCGATGTAGGTAAATGTTTTGGAATTATGGTTCCAATGATAAAGGTACATCACTCCTTTCTCAAGACTTGGGTTTGAGTCCCCTTAATCATTTTTTTCTTCGATTATTTTCTTAATTAGATGTTAAAACATGCCATATGTGTCACTATCTTTAAGGATTAGATTTATTAAATTAAAATCAAATCATTTTAATATAAAAGTAATAAATATTAAGTATGTACTTATATTAATATTATTAATGTTATTAACTATTATATCGGTTCCTCCGTCAAATATTAAAGACGGATGCCTTAATTGGTGTTATTTAAATAGTCAATTAGTCTTATTAATAAAATTGAACGACTAATGGTCAAAATAGAATCTTCTATAGTTAAATGGTCATATATGTAGTATATCCTGAAAAATGTTAGGATAAATTTTATGGATAGTCACTAAATTATATTGTTGATTATATTTTGATCACCAAACTAATATTTTTCAATTAGACCGCTAAACTGTTAATACGCTATCAACTAAGCTACCAATGGTTAGCAATTAACAAAATTATTGATATCGCAGTTAAAAAATAGTATGATTAAATGTTTAGATCTCATTCCCAAATTCATAAACACAAATCCAGTTCCGTGTACAAGAAGAAAACAGAAAAATTGAATTTGTAGACGAGAACAATTATGAAGACGTGATTGGAAACACTCAATTCTTCAAAACGCCCAAGAAAACATCTTCCCTTTCGTGTTATCTTTAAACGCGTCCCTTTTACAGCAAAAGCCATGACTCGGAAACGAACCAAGCTCGATCAAGAAAATTTAGTGATAAAAGGAAAGAATAATGCCAAAAGGGTAAAATGACTCTTCCTTTGTCCCTTCTATTTCTCTCAATAGCCGGATTTTCTGTAATTAAATCAATCCCGATTCTTCTCTTTTTTGTGTTCCCCCCCCCACCCCCCCGAGAAATTTAATCATTTGGATGCTAATTATATCACATGGTATTGATGTGGGAACAATAAAGTTGTTTTCTTTACGATTTTCTACGAGGTGGGTTTGATTTTGATCTGGATTTGGTGCTTCGGTTGGAGGAAAATTGATAGGCGTTTCGAATTGGGGGTTCTGATTGATTTTGGATTTAAAATTCGGGGTTTGATTTGAAATGGTCTATTTCCATAGCTCAATCTCGGTCTGCAACTCGGTTGACCAGGCTTCTTCAGCTACAATCATGGAAAATTCCGTGAATTCAAATGATATTGTGATGACCTCCAAATCATCGTCGTCTTCATCGAGGAACAATTTTTGCAAGAAACACAAGGTATCCAATTCACCAAGTTGTTTAAAAATTCCATCTTGTGAAAGATCAAGATCTGCTGCCATCGATGTTGTCATCTTAATTGCTGTGATTGCTGCTTGTGGATTCTTGTTGTTTCCAAGTATAAAGTGGATATCGTTGAAATTGATTGAATTCATTGGAACTGCCTTTTATGTGATTGGAGAGGAAATGATGAGAGATCCAATGGTATATGGATCTATTTTACTTGGTTTTTCTTGTGCTGCAATAGCTGCTTGGATTTTGCTTTTATGTACAACTAGGAAATGCAGGAACCCTAATTGTAAAGGGCTTAGCAAGGCAGCCAAATTCGATATTCAGCTGGAAACCGACGAATGTGTCAAGAACTCGAGCACTCTGGTTAAAGATGGTGTTAAGAGGGTACTTTTCGAATTGCCCCGGGACCATCATAAGGAATTGGAAGCCGAACTGAAGAAGATTGCACCGATTAACGGACGAGCAGTGCTCGTGTTTCGAGCTAGGTGTGGATGTTCTGTAGGCAGATTGGAGGTTCCTGGGTCAAAGAAGAGAAAGATCAAGAAATAGGATTTCGGAATGAGAGTACCATAGATAGAGTAATCAAAAGCAATACAGAAAGTAGTCATAATGCAGTGAGGTATGCCTTCTCTGGTTCGTTTAATCAGAAACTATGTTGTCTTTAAATAAGCTCTCATGGCAATAAGTTGTAAGAGGATTATATACAGTTGATTATAGTGGAGAATATAAGAATATTTACTTTTCATTTATTTAATCACTATTTTAATGGTAATTTAGCCTTTGAAACTTATGTTTAGGGTTCATAGTGGTGCAATTTGTTTTATGCAGTTATAGTTTCTAGAATTTCATTTTAATTGATTATGCTGTGATCGTTGAAAGCTTGAAACCCGGTAGACTATTATGCGATATGTTGAACTGTCTGAATAGTGGTGGTGATAAAATATGAGTTGAAGAAGATTGCTAAATTTTTCTTGAGATGCCAATTGCTTAAAGTAAACATTTTCTTTCGATACAAACGATGCTTTATCTTTTGCTGATGCAGATGATAGAAACACCAATCCTTTATATCACCAATCCTTGAATGATTGGTAGTTTCGGGTATCTGTTTGATGTATCTGAACTCTTTCCTTGATGTTGGATGTTATCTTTTGTTTATCCTTGCTAAAACTTCGTGCTATGTTTTGATTGACATTGAAGAAGATATTATTTGTCATCGGCAATGTAGTTTTTGTCGCATATTCCGAACTCTGTTAATTTGATACATTCATCTCATAGAAACCATAACTTTGCCTGCATTTTGAGCTTCATAATAGTACCTCACAAATTACAAGAGCTTGATTTAGTGATTGATAGAGCTATAAGCTAGTAAGGTTCCGAACCAGATATTTCGAGAAGGTTACTGTCTATTGTGATATCACATCTAATATTATCCGCCAAAACTTAGTTTTCAATTGTTGTGCAAGTCTGGAGAAATGTTGTATTGTGTGAATAGATTCATTCCACTGCAGCAATTTCAACATCATATCATGCTCTTCTCTTATTCTTGCATCCAAATCCATCTTCCGTGCCTTCTCGTAAGTTATATCACTTTTATTCTACTCGACTCGAGTGTGATAGATAGGCGTACTTGTAGCCTTCCCTTCCCTTGCATGATTTGTCGGAATTTATCACTCTGTTTGCATGTCTAGCTGGTTCTTCTTATAGGTGTAAGCTGTGAACTGTGAATCCGAAACCGAAACTCAGTAGCATCATGAAGATTCGAAACTTCTTGTTCGTCTGTTGTCTAATTTTGTTCTTGTATCGGACCATACATGGATTTTGATTTATGTATTGGTTTATGCTAAATCTTTTCTTTATCTGGGAAAGAGCTATGAAACAGTTCTGTTGTGTAGATAACTGCTCATTTAGACAACGTACAACTCATTGCAATATGTGCCGAATTAATGTGAAAATTGGCTTATTATATGACCGGAGTTGAGCTAAGGGGCTGCCATTAGCTATGTCGAGATTTAATACGACGATTAGTTTAACATTATTTTTTTTAAATTACCATAGAGAAAAGTGATTTTAAAAGATGTTTTTGTTTTTGGATTATTTAGTTTAAGATTTAAATATTTAGTATCATATTAAACATGTTTCCAAGAATAGAGGTGAGTAAAACTCGATTCAACTCGAAAAATCAATTTTTCCCAATTTCGAGTTATTAAAGTTTTCAACTCGAATTATCAATTCGAAATTTCGAGTTCGAGTCGAGATGAAATTTGAAAATTTTGGGTTATTCGAAAAACCAAAAACTTGACTATGTATTTTGATAGTTTTATGATTTAGTCACTGATTTCATTATTCCTTCAATACCTCCTCATTTGAGTCTATTTTTGACCAAATTTGAACAACATGCTCCTAAACCATAGTGGAATACATATGTACTTTCAACTCTTATTTTTTATAACAAATTTTTTTATTTTTCAATTTAGTCCCTATATTTTTCGTAATTTGCTTATTTCATCAATTCATCTTTTATTTTAAGTCATTCTTTTATCAAATTTGAATCACATGCTCATTTACTACAATATAATACCTATGTAACTTCAATATTTATTTATTTTTACTAAAAATGTACTCTCTTTTTTATTTAGACCTTGACATTGCATTTTACTCAACTTAGTCTTTGATTACAATTGTTTGCAAATTCTTTCTTCCCATCAATGTATTGATTCTTTTATACTCTCATCAATATTTTACCCTCAAAGTAAAGAAAAATATAATATTGTGAATATATTTTCAATTTTAGATTATATTTGATATATTAAATTACATTATAATGTGGAAAGAATATGAAATATATATATAATCTTATATGGTTAGAGAAAGTCGAAAAATTGGAATCAACCCTTACCATAATACTATAAATAATTATAATAAAATTAGCATAGAAACTCGAAGAACTAGACTCAATTTTCTTAAACTTGACTCGACTCGAAAAAAAATTCAAGTTAAATTATATTTGTAAAATACGACTCGTCAACTCAAAAAAATTTAACTCGACTCGACTAGATCAAATGCTCACTCCTATCCAAAAAGATAAGTATCATATTAGACATGATATTATAAATTAAAATATGTTGATAAATGATATCTAAATTCTTTAATATTAAAAAAATGTATACAAATATTTTTATTAAAAATAAATGAATTTATAATTAATGTGATCTATAAAAATATATAAAATTTAAAATAATTTTTAATAGATACTAAGGATATATAGTTTTCAAGTTTATGATTTACCCTTGCGGTTGAAGTACTTCCATTCCAAGCTAGAGTCTCACGTTTGTCTTATCAATACCTAATTGTTTTTTTTATATTATAATCTAAAATAAATTTTATAAATGATTTTGTAAACTAATGACAAAGATGGAGTTTACCCAGTGGTTAAGGTGCGCCCATAATAAATTTTGATCTATTTAATTAGAAGGAAAAATTATATAATTTGAATATCAAAATTAATTTAAAAATACTCTAATTAAGTGGTGATATGCTTCATTAGTGAAATGTATCGTGATAGATATCTTTTGATTGGAGAGTTATTTTTTATATTAAATTAAAATCAAGATTAAATCGATAGAATATGTAAATATCAAGGATTAATATACAATATGCTAATTTTATTAATTGTTACGTCACTATTTTCGTTAAATATTAATGACTACTAATTTGATTGAAGTATTTAAATAATTAAGTGACCTAATTAATAAAATCATAATATCAATGGCCAAAGTGAAAAGAAACAATAACTAAATAATCAAACGGATAATTTATTCTAAGATATAGAGTTAATTGCATCATATGTCCCTAAACTATGACCCTCATTTTAATTCTTAAACTTTTAAACATTTCAATTTCATCCCCAAATATGACTCTCATTCTAAATTAATCCTTAAACTTTTAGAGATCCTTCGACTTGCCAAAATCCATGAAAAGTAATATATATATATATATATATGGCATGGGGAATTTAATACCCAACTAACAACGTCATTGTTTTATACCAAGATAGAAAATATGGAATTATTTGAATTTATATTAATTATTTTATTTAAAAAATTGTGGTAGGAACTGAACTCATCTGTTTGAGTGTATAAAGTGGGAAACATGCATGAAGGTACAAATATTGTATTATGAGATCAATAATTGTGAAGACAGTATAGCAATAATTATAGTTAATTATATTATGTTCAAGTTGCATAAATTTAGAATTTAATGAAATAATTATGGTCAAAATTATGTTCAAGTTGCATAAAATTAGAATCTTAATGAAACCTTGCAGGTCCCGTTTTATGGTGCAGCTCAACTAACGGGAGCAATCTCTGCATCATTCACACTTCGTGTATTATTACATCCAATAAAACATGTTGGCACCACATCACCATCTGGTTCAGATTTGCAAGCTCTGATCATGGAAATAGTTGTCACCTTCTCAATGATGTTCATCGCTTCAGCTGTGGCCACTGATACCAAAGCTGTAAGATTATCAAATTTTCTTCAAAACCGTGAATAAAATTGAATTGTTTTCTGTTTATATATAATTATGATACTAAAATTCACCCCTAATATATGATAAGATCGTTATTTTAATCTCTATTTCTTTAAGCACTTTGGTTTTCACTTTTCAATATTTAATTTTAGGGCAAAATTTTTTCTAGTAGGATGAAAACTGTTAATTGACTAATGGTCAACGTTTGTCGATGACGTAACAAGTTCTATTTATCCAAAGTGATGACGTGGCATCACCACTTATGTACACAGTACTGTGACATGTACAACGTCATCACTTATACATGACATATACTATATAATTACTTTAAACATGTGTCACATGTCACATTCACTTTGAACACATAGAACTTTGCCATCAACAACAAAAGTTGACTATTAGTAAACCAACTATTTTCATCCAATAAGAGATATTTTATCCTAAAATGAAATGGAGATAAAAGTGCTTAAAAAAATAGGGATCAAAGTGAATATTTTATCAAACACTATGAACATTTTTTAATATTATGTCTTATATATATAAATATATATGTATATGTTTCCACAATGGTAGATAGGGGAGCTAGCAGGCATAGCAGTGGGTTCAGCTGTCTGCATAACTTCAATCTTGGCCGGGTAGTATCAAGCTTCCTGTTGATTACTCTTCATAAAAACTATACACTAACGAGTTGTGTAGGGAATCGAATCCAGACCGGTATCGGGAGGATCGATGAACCCGGCGAGGACAATCGGACCAGCGGTAGCCAGTGATTACTGTAAGGGAATATGGATATATGTGGTTGGCCGGTGACAGGGGCGTGGTGTTACAATCTGATCCGTACGAAGGACAAGCCCGTGAATGCACTCTCTCCACGTTCCTTCTCCTTTAAACTTCGTCGTATGAATGAGCAAGATGGAGAGGTTTAAAGACTTTGTTATATATATATATATATATATATATATATATAGTTCAGCCTTGTACCTTTTCTTCAACACTTTTCTCATGTTGTTAAAATTTACATGGAGGAGTGTGGTGTTCAATGGAAATTATTTAGACTAGTCCTTGTACTTTGTACAAGTTTATAGATTTAGTTCTTGTTCTCATGTACAAAACTATTTAGGCTCTGAGAAATAACCCTAAATTTTCTGGTATAATTTCTTTTATATCCTTAACAAATTTTAGTTAATTAACATAAGTTCAACAACCCAAACAACAAAAATTAGGGTTTAATTATTAAGTCAATTTTGGTTTTCAAATCAATCAAATTAAACTTCAGTCTACTCATTTATATTTATTTGGTCCTTATAAATTTTAAAATTAAAAAAAAAATTATTGATGACAACAAGTTTATCTTGTCAGTCGTTAGCGATTCACCCTTTTTAATATAAGAGGAGAGTCCCGATCAATGTTTAAATGAAGAAGAGATTAAGTTATCATAAGAGGTGGAGGGAGATTCAAGAAGGATCAATTGTGTTAATGAGCGTTTACCCATCTTCTCAGTTTTGATGAAGAATATTTATAATGGACTTTAGTGCGTGTCAACCATGGAGTCATAATGGATATTTTATTCTGACACATCACATAAACATGTTAGAAGTTTTATCACATAAGCCTATTAGAGGTCTTATCTATAAGTTGTGGTCGACCAAAACCATGTGTTTAGAGGATTTAGACGAGCCAAAAGCTCTGGTCACCGAAGGTATAACAAATTTTGACCCTTATTTTATAGTTTAAAGGCTTTTTTATGGTGTCTTTACAAGACATTGTGTGGGCGGATGTACATGGCTCCATAGGGGAGCTATTGCACATCCATTATTTTGAGAAAAATGTTAAATTTAGTTTAATTTACTAATGGGAATAAGAAAAAATTAAAAAAATTGAACATCCAACTTTTTTTAGAATCAAATATTAAATTTTTGAATCCCTATTTTTTAATTTCTAGATCCGCCGCTATTGTGTGGGTTAGTTCATGGAGCTCAAGGAAGCCCATCTTTTCTTTGTTCTCCGGCACCTTCGGTGGTATTGGTGCCACTGATCAAATGAAAAAGTCCGAGGTATTTGTGGAGAAAACAAAGTGTGTAGTAAATGGTTCCCCATTCTCCACGCACAATTTTCGAACCATACTTCCTCAAAAGAAAAAAAATAGAACCATACAGTACATGCAGAAGCATTATATAAACCCCAAAGGAGGGGTATTGAATCCAACACATAAATATATCTAAATAAAAGAATTAGTCGCTGGCCAACCTTCAAAAGTTGGCACATAGCATCTTTTTAGTGCCTTGGATAATTCAGGGTTTACACCATTTTTTGAATTGGTGTTAACTGGGATTGAACTTGTAGTTACTGTTCAGTCTTAAAAATCCTAGGGCCTTAACCCAGTCCAAAAACAAAAACACAATAAACGAATTAGAAGGAAACGGGAATGACGACGAGTACGAGCCGGCTGGTGTTCCTTTTCTCATTTGCCGCTCTTATCCCAACCCTATGGGGAAGTTTTATCGCTGAATACGATGAATTCTGGAAGCAACGCGAGCGAGAGGCATGGAAGAACACCCTCGCTGCTTATGATCCCAACCCAGAAAACGTCACCAGGAAACTCAATCAACATGTTAACCTGTAATTCTTATTCATGAACTTCTAACATAAATGTATATATGTGTTATAATTGATCGTGTTCGATGGAAAACTTCGTGCAGGGCTCTTAAAACATCCAGAAACCGAATATGGGATTTGGGCGGCGACGGCGACGGTGGTAACGCCACCACGACTACCAGGAGGAGCTTGAGGGGCAAACACAAGAAGTACACGGGGCCATGCATGGTGACCAACCCCATTGACAAATGCTGGCGGTGTAGGGCTAACTGGGCCGACAACCGTAAGAAGCTAGCGGATTGCGTGGTTGGTTTTGGCCACAAAACCGAAGGAGGAAAAGACGGCGATTTCTACGTGGTGACCGATAATTCCGACGATGACATGTTGAACCCTAAGCATGGAACTTTACGTTGGGCAGTAATCCAGAAAGAGCCGCTGTGGATCATTTTTGCTCACGACATGCACATCAAGTTGTCGCATGAGCTGATCATCCAGAGCAAGAAGACGATCGACGGTCGCGGAGCCAACGTCCATATCGGATATGGAGCCGGGATGACACTTCAGTTCGTGCAAGATGTCATCATCTCTAACATCCATGTTCATCACATTCTTCCTAGCCAGAGTACCGTGATAAGGGACTCCGTGGATCATTACGGTTTGCGGACCATGGGCGACGGAGATGGCATTAACATTTTCGGATCGACAAACATTTGGCTCGATCATCTTTCGATGTCGGAATGTCAAGATGGACTCATCGATGCAGTTCAAGGCTCCACCGCCATCACGATCTCGAACTGCCATTTCACCCACCATAACGATGTAAACATAAGCCCTCTACATGTTTTCATTATAAATATATTGTATAATCAACTATATTCGATCCTTTGTTCAGGTGATTTTATTGGGTGCAAGTGATAGTTACGAAAGAGATAAATTGATGCAAGTCACCGTAACGTTTAACCATTTCGGCAAGGAATTGATTCAAAGAATGCCGAGATGTAGATGGGGTTTCTTCCATGTTGTTAATAATGATTACACACACTGGAAAATGTATGCCATCGGCGGTAGCAAGCATCCCACCATTATTAGTCAGGGCAATCGGTTCGTTGCTCCGGACGACTCTAAAGCAAAAGAGGTGAATCGAATTACAACACTATTCAATGTTACGATAATTATGTTATAATTCGAGTTTAAATAATTAATTTATTCAAATGTTGTGTACGTGCAGGTAACGAATAGGAATTATGCATCGGAAGAGGAATGGAGCAAATGGATATGGCGATCGGAAGGGGATTTGTTGCTGAACGGAGCCCGTTTTCGGACGTCGGGGCAGCTCAAATCGCCGCATTACGACTTCACGAAGATGGAGATGATAAGTGCGAAGCCAGCAACATTTGTGGGAAGGCTGACCCGTTTTGCCGGAGCTCTTGATTGCAGAAAGGGGCACGAGTGTTAACAAAGGGTCTATTCATCTTCATTGTTTTCTTTATTTTCCTTTATTTTTTCTTCTTAATATGCAAAGATGAAGATGATTATGAGGATTAGGAGATTATGACTACCGCCCCGCCGGGTTTTGTGGCGGGTGTATTTTGAAGTTTTTAAAGCTTATTTTATAAATTAAAGTTTTAAAGCGTTAAAGAATCATGTATATATGAATCTCTTTTCGAGCAGTTCATCCGTTTAAAGTGCAGATGATGATAACGTAAAATATATATATATATATGTCATCAGACAAATATATATATAAAAAAAAGCAAGACATGGTGCTCATCGTCCTGTTTGCTTATGCTCTGTTCTTGTCTCTACTTAATACCTTCCATTGCCTTGTTTGCTGCTTTTCTACTTCCTTTGATCGATTTCAATAAAGTTACAACCAACCTATGCATTTTGGTCTTACAGACTAATAAATAAGAGCTCAATATGTGCTGACTGTACCATATTTTGCAGTTCCAGTTTTCCCAACTGATTGATCCTGCAATAAATAAAACTGAAACGCACGGCTCATTGTGAGCAATAGAACACCAGCATGGATTTCTTCGTGGTCAAGCCTAAGGGAAACAGTCTTCACCAAAAAGGTCCATGAAGCTTATACATCTTGTTCTACTCGGTCAAAATTCGGTCTTGAATTCACATTACTTAATTATACATCTCATGAAACGGTAATACGTCAATTTCCTTTAATTCGTAGCATATAAGTGAATCAAATAAACACAGTCACCACCAGCAGTATCCAATATTGGTAAAAAAGAAACACATCCAACACTTGAATCTCTAATTTTCCAAAAGCTATATGTGTCCATCGATTGAGTCATCAAGTCACGTCACGTTGGTCGCCCTTATCCTCTCGTGCGCTTGAGGATACCGTATTGTCTGTTCCTGCTCACCCGCTTCCCTGCCCTCTTGCTTCTTTAACTTAACAAATGATGGCTTCACAGATCAACACACAACGCTCTAAATGTTTGGGGTGACACAAATGTCTTGAAGAATAATGCGATGAAATTTTTTAACGTTCCATATTATTAAACTATTACGAATCAATAATACAATTGATTAATATCCAAAATTTTCAAAATAGTTAAGGTTGTGGATTCTTTCATTACCGACATAAGCTCCATTCCATTTGGTATTTCTCTCATCAAGTTTTATTTGATTCCACCTTTCTCTCTCTCTCAAAAGAACATAAACGCAATGAAATCAAATTAAATATAATAACGAATTGTTTAGTAAAATGCTGGTCAAATTGAAATATTAAAATTGAGATCACCTTCTAATCGAATTGAATCTTTATGAAAATAAATCAAAACTGTTGAATTAAATTCGAAAGACTCCTGCCACCTGCCGCCCGTAGTGACAATCGACTAACTGTTGAAGTGGAGATGGTCAGTCGGACTCGTTTCCAGAATCAACGTTCATCGGCTGAGGATGATTATCCCCTTCTTCATCATCATATCGCTTCTTATCTAATCGAGCCTTTGCTTCATATGGTTCTCTCTCCTCCGCTGCAACCCACAACCCATCACTTTCCATTCTTCAAAAAGAAAAAAAAGACAAAGCAATAGTACTTACTTGACAGCTTTCTCCACCTCTCTCCCATTATTTTAGACACCTCTGTAAATGACATTCCCGGATTACTCTTCTTCACATTCTGAAAAACAACATTCACAATTCAACTCACCCTCCTAAAACATAATAATAATAACCTCATTTCATTTGCATAATTCAAATAAGGAAGAATATGTGACCCTACCTCCCTCTCCACCTGCGAGAAAAACATGAAACCCGACAACGCCCTCTTCGGTGCATTCGGATCCTTCTTTTTCCTCTTCTTCTTCTTTCCATCATCTTGTCCCTCTCTACCTTTCTTCTTACTTGCTTTCGAAGAAGAAGAAGACGCTGCACCAGCTTCCTTCTTGGGTGGTGGTTCCTTCTTGGCAGGTTTCTGTGTTTCCCAAACTCCAGTGTAAGATAAACTCATATATAATTTGTTACAATAAAAAAATTGTCATTTTAAGGTACCAAATGACTTGCCTCTTTCTCATCTCCACTTTTACTAGCATCAGATTCGTCCTCCCCGGAATCATCAGTTGGAGAACCCTCATCAGACTTTCCTGCAACAAAGTCCTCGTCCTGCACTCGTTCACCATGTTTACATCATCAGTTTGAGATAGGCCGAAACTAAATCAACTTCAAACTACAAATTAATAAATTCACACAATTTGAAAAATATATACAACTTACCTCCTCGTCACTTTCATCCCCAACAGCTTCATTTTTAATGCGTTCAAGATGTGGGTCAACTGCATCATCATCCTCATTTTGAAGAATCTCGGCCACACCATCCGCAGTCCGTACATCTCCAAGATTCATTATCTTCAAGCCCTTTGAACTGCATGGTAAAAATCAGCAGTTAATAGATACCAGAAGGGGACCAAAATTATTAACCAAATGGAAGACCATATTATCCATACCTGATAAAGTCAAACAAATTATGGTATTCATTTCTCTGAATATTCCGGAATAAATGTTCTTGCTCAGTTTTTAATCTTATGAGAAGATCAAAGTAATGCATATTAGAGCCACCAGCAGCATGCCTCTCAAATTCAACATAGTCAATCTAACATTTTGGGCAAAAAGGGTGAAACAACCAAACATGTCAATTAAAATGGATATTTGTTATTTGCATTTGCACCAACTGATCGATCAAGAGGCAATTTAGACTTTATACCTCTTCATGAAGAATAAGTGTAGGAGGCTTGGGTAGAAAAAAAAAGCTCTTTTCAAGTGGATACAAGACACCATCTTCAGCTTTCAGTGACGACTTGACGGCGTAACCATCTTGACAGCTACGGAATTTTCCTGGTTTGGTAACTTTGGCCCCAGATAAACCACGCATTATTGTGGTAAACACCTCATGAATAAGTCCCTGATTTATCAAGCATAACATTAAGTGTAATTTTTTCTCGTAAATCAAGGGCACCAGTGCTTTGGGAGAGCTTGTGTTGTCAATGGGGAGGGGAGGTATTACCTTGTAAGATGGTTCCAACCTGTCTTTGTATTTTGAATTCAAAAGATCTTCATTTATGGACAAGGTGCTTTCAACTACATAATCAGTTTCAAACTGCAAAAAAGGAACAAATAGGAGATAAGTCCAAAACATTCATTGCATATCCGGTGAACACAAATATAGACAACAAGCAATACCTGCAAGACAATATGAGGGTACAAAGTTTGCCCTTTACGGATGGGTGGATCCAGTGTAACAACAACAAAAGTATGAGGCTGGTTGAACTGCCAAACAAACAAATGAGTGGGGAAAATATGTAAAAGAGATTATAAACAAAATGTTGCGACTCTTGTATCAATGCACAATAGTATTCATATCAGAGAAAGAATTGAACCTTTGGAAGCAAAAACAAGCGCACAACACTGCTATACTGAATTTTGAAATCATTAGCCTGTCCTTGGAGCCGCAAGAATGACAGATGCAGATCAACACTATACCGACCCCTATAGAAAAAGACACATTGAGTGTGATTAGGTGCGGCATTCTTCATCCCTATTTCAATGTGTTTGGGGGAGACCTACCTTGGTGTGAGGATTGCAATGCCCTCAAAAGTGACAACAGCTTCCTCAACTCCAGTACCAACATCAGCCACTGACATGATCTTTTCACGGAAAACCTAGCAGAAAGTTATTTGTACATGGCATCAGTAATGTAATCATTAGCTGTAAATTCACATATTATTGATAGACAAGTGACAGCGGACTTACTTGAGCAGGTGGACGATTTTCATCACCAACAAAGTGGATGTTAGAATTAGGTATGTGGAAACTTATCTCCATAAGGGAGTCTTTCTGTTATTCAAGAAAGAGAAACAACTTTAGAGGGGGAAAATATAAAACATGGGTCTTGTTCCTGGACAAATTTCATGCAGGTAAAACTTTTCCTTCATCAGTGAAGTTCATACAAATAAGGTGGTCACAAGCATTTAAAAAGAGAAACTTCTTTCAATATTAATAGACAATCAGAAGGGCAGTGAGAAATAAACCTCATTAGCTCCAGTTGTATCATCCACATGGAACTCCAAGATGACATCGTTTTTTCCTTGAAGCTGAGTTTGTGATACATCTGCTAATGACACTTCAAAAGCTTGTTTCGAACCACTCACAAAGGTAAGCATATTCCCTACAAATACAATAGAGGCTTTCAAAAATACAAGAATAGGCAGATTTATGGAATAGCAAATACCAGCTGAATGCCAAAACCCAGCCATGAAGGAAAAAGATCAAGCATCCAAGGGCCAAGCAAGACAAATGATGCTAAACTCGGGATCTGAATTGAAAGGCAACTCAAACTGAAGCATAAATTCCATACTCTCACTAGCACACAAGATATGAAGTTACAGCATGCGGGAAAAATACACATTACTATCCCCCAATGGCGAGGCAGTACAGTGACAGAAAGCTATACACAAGTGAAACAAGGCAAACGAGATCACAAAAATTTAACATCAAAAGCATGCCTCACTAGATTATTGATTTATATCCTACGAAATGGACACATGAGGCATAGAAGCATAGCAAACCTTAATGTTGGGGAATTGTTATCAAAATAAGAAAAATGTTCTAAATCTCAAACATCCACAAGCAGATAATTGGAACCGCACAAGATTCACCAAATGTATAACAAAACAGGCAGAACAGTTTGAAAGAACTTTGCGTAATCTGCTTCTGTGGCCACAAACAGAAACCACTTTAAGTTAGAATTATTAAGAAGGAAATGAAGTGAGGTTTCACCAACCATTTAAATCAACGTCTCCCCAGTTATGCCCACTGACAGAAAGCTGCTTTTCTTCTGGTGTTATTCCACAATTATTCTGGAAAAAATTGGTCAAACTAACAACATCCTACACAGAAAAATAAACATAACGAAATAAGAATCATGAGTTGATAGCACTTCCATCCAGGAAAACAAACACAACTCTAATATTGTTTCTTATTTAACACAGTTCATAAACATTACCGGCAACCATTAATCACACAGAATGAGAAAATAATTTATTATAGAGAGAGAGCTGAAAATTAACCTGGTCACGAAATCCTGCGAACTTGTAGTACAACCCGTCTTTGATTCTAACACCAAGTTGATTTGTCCTAGGGACTTTCATCCATGTAACCCCTAATATATCAGATTTATCAACTTCTACTGCTTTACCACCTCCTTGTTTCTTCCATAAAATACCTCCTGAAAAAATTTTAAGCTGTCCAGGATTCTGCATTTCATCACATAAATAACAGGCATGTAAGGTTCCATTTTCTTTCTTCCCCCGTTTATGAAAAGTTAAGAGGAAAAAGAACTGGAGTAAATATTTACGAAAAACAGAAATTGTCACACTGTATATCTAAAGATCATACTGGTAAGGCAGACAAAATGATCAGAACCACAGGATTTCAGAAATTTACACTTTCCTCAGCTGTTTTCAGACAAATCATGTATAAAATATACTAATATAGAATTCGGAAACTATAATACCAACATTTGCTAAGCATTAACTTAAAATCATAAAATTCCACCATAAACATTCTACAAAACTCCAATGAATTAGGGTTTAAAACGAATCACTCACACATATAAAAAGTCGAGGTACATCTCGTTCTATCAAACATAAGGATGTAAAAAGCTTACTGAAAATCAAAAACAGAACTAAAGTATAAAATATTCGAAAACGGACCTAATAATTAACTTTTTAAAAAAGAAAAATGAAGGAAACCCCAGCAACAATCTAATAAAAATTGCAATAACCGAATCGAGTTTCCTCCAAATTTTAACATAAACACATAGCAGCCAAGTGATGAAAAGTACTAATAAGGAAATTAGGGATTAGATTTGATTTCGAAAAATAAAGAAAAATCGAAAAGGGTAAAAACAACAGATTAAGCTACAAAATAATCGATGAAATAAAACGGAAAATTCCAGAGAAGAAGGGGGGTGACCGTGCCGCCTCGGCCGCCGAGGGAGATGTTGTTGAAGAGATGTCCGTCGGTCATGGCAGTCAATTCGATTCCGATAGACAGGGAAATATTTCCAAACGACGAGATAAAAGTGAGGAGTGAAGAGATTTAACAAGGAATGAAAAACCCTGCATTGATTCCGCTTGCGGAGGTTTTGCTTTTATACGGTGGCACGGGTGCGTACTGCGCACCTATATCGTTGTGGCGCGAAAATAGCGAGGCTGGGAGGGGAATCTGGTACGTTTATTTTAGAAGAGTCTTTCGAATAATTGGAGCAATTATATTATGCCACGTAGTCGTTGGATTTCTTATGTGATTGACTTGGGCTGGTTGCTTTTTTATAGAGTTCTACCCCATACATTATCCTGTTTTGGGCCATCTAAGTTTTATTTATCTTCATTTTAAATTTTATATATAATTCATTACCTATGAAATTAGATATTTGTAAGACACTTCCTTTTAAATCAAGGAATTTTTAAAATGTATTATAATTATAAAAAGTTTAATTTAATTTTATTATAATAATTGTAGTTTAAAAATATTGACGTGGATTTTCTTCTTCAAATTAATGTTTATTTTAAATTATCAGTCATTGTAAATGTTGAGTTATCGATGAACGGAGTGATCATCTATCATTATCAATCCCAACAGTTGGCAGATTCTCTTTGTCTGGAAGCAGAGACAGAGCCAAGATTCTAGTTTAAGAGGGCTAAGTATAATTAACAATAAAATTGAGTGTGACAAAATCAAAATAAATCAAAACTTGAAGGTCTAATTATGTATTTGTCCCTATATATTTTTAATAATAAAAAATTTAGGGGGTGCAGTGGCCCTTAAACTATACATGATTCCGTCACTGGCTAGAAAATTAACATGATTTGATGGTTAATAGACTCCAATAAAAAAGTTATCGAAAAACATTTCGATCTACTCAAATTCTAGTCGAAACAATAAGTTAGAACTTTTCAATTCTTCATTGTCAACCATAACTTATATGTTAATCTTCTAACCAAACAAGACCTTTCTACTGTTGGGATTGACTAATGGTAGTTAGTGACAATGACCATAATGTAAACAAATTAAAAGTTTAAAATTTTAATGCAATTTTTAAAAGTTTGGTGTTAATTTGAAAGTACTCTAAAAGTTTAATGATCAACAATGTAATTTACACTCTTTTTGTCCAACTTGGATATTCTAATTTTAATGGCGAATTATAAATTTGGTCATTTTTGTTTTAGTTTTTCCTAATTTTGGTATCTGGTTTTGGAAAAAATATTACATTTTAATATTATTGTTATCAATTTATTACATTTTGATCAATTATCTTAATGATGTAGTACATTAAAATGATCAATTTCTAATTTAATGCTTAAATGTTATATAAAATATCAATTTAATCCGAAACTTGAAATAAAATATAAAATTGACTTCATACATCGGCTACTATTTATTATTAGAGATGACAAGTTAATCCGAACCCGACCCGACCCGATCGGGTTGGATTTTTTTAAAAAGAATTTTGGGTTTTGATCGGATCGGGTTTAGGGTGGAAAAATCTGACCCGACCCGACCCGAAAAATATATATAATTTTACTCTATATATTTAGAGATAATTACAATAATATCCCTCTATATATAATTTTTTTCAATTAAGTCACTGTTTTTATTGAATAAAAATATATATTTTTTTATTATTTCGAGTCAGGTTGAATTTCTAAGTCATATATTCGGGTCGGATCGGGTGAAACCTTAATTTCGTCAGGTCAAATTGGGTCACTGGTGGATGACCCTTTCTTCTCGAGTCAGACCGAGTGACCTAAAAATCCGACCCGACTCATTGTCATCCCTATTTATTTTTGCCATCATCGGTCATGTCAACTGAATAGAACGACTTTTACTTCATTCTTTTTTTGACCTCTTAAAAATAAATCGAGTATCAATTTTACCGTAAAATACTTCAACGTGAACTTAGATATTTTTATAGTTTATTTATTTTATAAACTGATATTTTGCTTCAGAAGTGATATCTAAAAAGGTACAAATTGATGAAAGGAAAAGGAACAGCTGGTTAAGGGTTAAGGGTTAAGGGTTAAGGGTTAAGGGTTAAGGGGGGAGCAAGGAGCTTTGGGGAGATTCCTTTGGTGGTCAGGGACCATTTCGATTTGTGGTATTGTGGATCAAAATCGAAAAAATCACTTGATAATTATTTATCTTTCACCACTAAAATCACTAAATAAGTAATCATCATTAAAAATTTAACTCATTTAGTACTTAAATTATTAATTTTGATATATTTTAATATTTAATTTTTTAAAAAACTTATTTTTAAAGGAGTGTTAAAATAAAAAAAACGAAACATTAGGTATACTTTTAAAAAAAAATAAAAGTTTAAATATTAAAATAAATCAAAATTAATAGTTTAAATACTAAACACGTAGTTTATCCAAATGATATTATTTGTCTTGTCATACTTATGGGTCCATGCGTTGATAACAACTAGCCCTCCAGTTTGGTTTGTTAAGTTAACTTGTTTGAAAGCAAAAAAAAAAAATTCAATATAAACCTGATATTAATGATTAATTCAAAAAAAATATCATAATACTTCCTTTTTATTTATATTTTTTCTTCAAGTTTTAATTAATCGAAACAATTTATACTCAAATATATTTGTTACTATATTACATGTTAAAAAAATAAAATTTATATATAATTTTGATATTTATAGCAGGTGATAAGCTTAAGGAATATTTTTTTAGTTGGGTGGTAGGTTATGTAGCTTCTCGATGTATATTATTTTAGATTGATTAGGATAAAATCCTACAAAATTAAAAGAATAACAAAAAAAATTAATTTTAAAAAATACATATTATAATATAAATATTACTATCTTCCACTCACATGATTATGGGGCTCCCTCCCCCATATAAGGTTATAAGAAAAATTATTTTTTCATATAAGACATTAAGGGTATGTAAAACTATCCAATTCGTCAACTCGGAGTTAAAAAATGGTAATTTTTTAAAAAATTTATTCGGTCGGGTTGGGTATCTGACTCGACATTTTTTGGGTTGGGCCCGAATCATAAAATTGAAGTTTTCTGGGTATCCGGTTACTCAAATATCTGGTTAGTTTATATATATAATGGATTATTAGATTTTGTATTTTGAACTTTTAAATTTTATGTTCGGATGTTGGAGTATATAATTTGAAGTTTTGAACATTTAAATTTGTGTATATATTTTTTAAAATTAATAATTTGAAAATGAAAAAAAGGAGTATCGGGTACCCAATGGGTACCCGCAACATCCGGGTTGGGAAACGGGCCGAGAAATCACCGATCTGGATGTTGCGGGTACCCAATAATCAGGTACTCGAAAACCCGGTACCTAAATTTGCACACCCCTATAAGACATCTACCATATTATTTTATGAACTAAGGTTTGTTGTTGGTCTGAAAACACTTTATACTTCTGGAGCCTTCTCCGTTTGCGGAGGGATCTGAATTTCATTGATCATACAAGCAATAATGGGTGGAAAGAGTGAGTGATTTTAAAGCATTTAGATTTCAATTTTCTCAGAGTTTCCACTTTTGGGTATAATTTATTTATGTAAACCGAGTGATCATTGTGGTTTTTTTGTTGTTGTAAATGGCAGGTTTCATAGAGCAAAGCCATTTATTATAGATCCAGGGTTGTATAGTGTGAAAAAATCTGATGTGTTTTGGGTTACTCAAAGGAGAAGTGTGCCTACTGCATTCAAACTCTTTACAGGCAAACATCCTCAAACCTTCAACTTTCTTAAAGTTTTGTGTTAGTTACTATATTTAGCTATGATTAGTTAATGGTTATTTAGTGATCTCTGATAGATTTGAATGATCCTTTTAGAGTTTTGGAGTTTCTGCTCCGAAGGAAGTGGATTGGTACAATGGTATGTAGACTTGTAATAGACATGTTCCAACTGTTTTGCCCGATGAAAGTGCCTAGTTTGTAGCATCATACTAATGCACGCAAAGAACCCTTTGTTTCCTGCATGAAGGATTGCTAGTGAGAAACGCATAGGAACTACATTATTTCTAATTGCATCTTTACTTTGTTTGCTAATTGCCATGGAACACGTCGATTATGTTGTGAAGTCCATGGTTTATCAGTCCTTGGTCTTTTAGGAGAAATCTGCATCTTGGGGCTTTTGCATAGTCATTTTAAAATTGATTTTACTGATATTGCCGATGTCTTTATCGTAATTTGACTGTGATAGACAGATGATTTTATGCATGTTCATCATTGCCAATCTTCCCGTTATCTCATGAACTTAATCTGTTAGATAACCATAGATGTTCGCTGTATTCGGCATTAGGTGGAATCTCTGACATGTATCTCTTTTCTGTAATAGGCTCTGCTTGGATGGCACTTTCTCGATCTTTTATCGATTACTGCATTTGGGGATGGGACAACCTACCTCGAACCGTCCTCATGTACTATGCAAACTTCTTATCTTCTCCGGAAGGTTACTTCCACACCGTGATTTGCAATGCTCAAGAATTCCGCAACACTACTGTAAACAGTGACCTCCATTTTACATCATGGGATAACCCTCCTAAGCAGCATCCTCATCTCCTCAAGCTTGCCGACATGGAACGAATGATTAACAGCAACGCCCCTTTCGCAAGAAAGTTCCCTCGGGATGATCCGGTTCTAGACAAGATTGACTCCGAGCTATTGTCTCGGGGTCCAGACATGTTTACTCCCGGCGGTTGGTGCGTAGCAAGCGTGCAAAACGGGAGTGATCCTTGTTCAGTTGTCGGTAATACAACAGCCATCAAGCCTGGCCCTGGAGCTACGAGGTTGGAAACCTTGATCAGTGCTCTTCTATCCAACGACAATTTTCAACCGCGACAATGCAAATGATACTGTCGGAAACTTGGTTAGCGGAGCATTCGTACCGATTAGGGTTCGGTTATACATAAATCAGAAGACGAAGACGGTGCATCAAGTGTAAAGTATTCCTTGTGGTAAGTGGAAGGAAGTAGGCGAGATATCTTTGGATTAGTTAGATGGATATATTTGTAGTGTTATATAACTATCAGAAACTGAACATATTTGTAGTATATTCAACTAATGTACAAAGGCAAGTATAGTATGTTTTATTTGAGCAGCCTGCCTGCCTTTTTGAAGAAATCAGGGAAGAGCAAAAGGAATAAAAAAAATCTTTACTACAAAATATTATCGTCGTCTCCAGAGAAATGTTTTGGAAATCTCGGTGTATCCACCAAAGCTTTTGTAATACACTGTATGATTTTTCTATATATAACTCGAAGAAAACATTGAAGTAAACTAAAAAGCTTCAATAAGAAGGAAAACTGTTTTTCTATGGCATTCACTTTATTTTTATGTGAATAAAACTCTTGTTGCTGAGCAAAAAAAAAGCCTAGCAATGGCGAAACCAGAGGAAAACACTAATTTACCCTTTCCAAGCATATCTCAGTGTGCATCCATCCGACGTGAAAAGGACACGGTGGTGGCCGACATGGATGGAACGCTGCTAAGTGGAGGAAGCTCTTTCCCTTACTTTGCATTAGTTGCTTTTGAAGTCGGTGACATATTCAGGCTTCTCTTCTTGCTTTTAGCTTCCCCTATAGCCGGGATCCTTTACTACTTCATATCCGAATCTGCCGCGATCGCACCAAGGATGCTTCCATGACAAAAGAACTTTTACAAGGCAATCTAGTTATTTGCCCCGAATGAACGATATGTAGGGAACTCTTTTTACTAAGGTTTTCTGCATTGTTCACGGAGTTAACCGACGAACTCGTTCCGGTAGCGATGTCTAATAAGATGAGCATGTTCCACGTAACAACAGCTAGAGGTTGGAAAGGGATGGACCCTTTTTACTTCTTCATGAACCCTAGCCCAGCATATGAAGTAAAGTTCTTAAACAAGTTGCTACATGATTTAACCTGCAGCGGTAAGAAATCAAGCCATGACGTTGCGAATTACATTCGAAGAACGATTGCTGCAAGCTTATCGTATGAATGCACAAGTTTTACTGGGAAAGATAAGAATAGAGCTTTGGCCGGAAACGATGGAATCGTGACGCAAATTACAAATCATGGGGTGCTAGAAAATTAATCTTGTACTCAAGCATGAGATATATTTTGTCCCATAAACTCTCAACTTTTCTCGTTGTGCTTTAAACCGGACAACATGGTTGATTTTGAGCAAGGTTTTCACCCAATCATGGTTTGAATATAAGTATCAATGTGCAATCCTTCTTGCTATGGTCTAATTAGCCAAAGTTATGACAAAAATCTGCAAGTCTTTCGTCAGAAAATTTAACCACTATATCAGTTTTATCGTGCCTCTGAGTTTAAAACCTACAGGTAGTAGTTTGTCCAACTAGACTGCCACTCTGAGTCAAAGTAAGCCTCCTTCCTCATTTAAATTAATGTCTTCATCATCTTTGGCGTCGATGGTAAATAGTGAAGCAAACCTTTTCCTATTAGAAATAAATAATAATAATTTTAATTAATTAATATGAGATATATCATTATCTTAATTTCGTTAGGACCATTATAAGGAAAGAAATTTTGAAGTGTAGTGTTTATATATCCAACTTAGTCAGTCAGTCAATTTTTTTAACAGACTAAATTAAAATATATGAATAGTATTTTATAACTTTTAAATTTTTTTATTGTAAAAATAATTTTATTACTAGAAAGCCAAAACATTTGTTGAATGCATGCTTCGTTAAAAATCCTCTTAACCTAGGAAAAAGAGTACATGCAATTACAAAACGAACTTCCTGTTCTATGAAACCTGTCCATCAACTTCCATAGATCATCTTTCAACCCCCCCCCCAACACTTTTTGAAAAGCAGCAGATTAAAACCATCCTGCCCCGGAGCTTTTGAACCATCGCATGACCAGACAGCTTCTTTAATTTCTTCTGCAGAAAACGGTGCTTCCAGCTTATCTACTTCCGGCTGACTTAAGACCTTGAATTCCAACTGAAAAATAGCTTCCCAATCTCTTACTTTACACTCAAACTGTTTTGGAAATGATTGAACAAAGTCCCCTTTAATCTCTTTGGATCGTTAATCCATTTATCTTGACAACGCAAGCCAATCAATCTGTTTTTGCTCGATCGAAACTGTAATGCTTTTTGAAAAAACGAAGTGTTCGAGTCGCCCAGTGATAACACTTAATCCTTGATTTTTGCCTCCACAGCTCTTCCTGAAACTTTAACGCCTCCTATAACTCTTTCTTCAAATTCTTTAAAGCAAGCTGATCCTGAATACTCAACCCAGATTCTTTAAAGCAAGCTGATCCTGAAATAACATTACCTTGCCTACCAAAGATTTGCCAGAGACCTTTCCAGTATAATTCCATGGGTAAATTGTCAACAAACAGCGAAATAACCATGCACTCAGCCTCCTTTGGACCACCATTTTCCCCTTTCGCCATGTTTTATTTTACCAACGGGTTGGTTCAACTTTTAAGGGAGATAATGGTTTACTTCTTTTAGTTGGGATGAAGAGTCAACTGTTTAGTAGAAAAAAGAGAGAATGGGATTGTCATAAGTGAACTTCTCGCAACTGTACATGTATCCTTCATCTCATCAAAACATCTTACAATCAAAAGAATTTTTTTTACAATTTCTAATAGTCGAAGAGTTCGATAAAATGATTTCCTATAGTAAAATATAGGCCGATAAACTCCTCAACGCCCTATAGTAAAATAGTTGAGGAACACATCTAGCTAGAGTAACTCATCCTTTTGTTATGATTGGGGCAAACACAGCCATTGGCTGGAAAGTGCTAAACGCATCGTTTTCGTGTATGGTTCTTCGGCCAGAAAAAGAAAAGGAAAAGATGCTGCCAGATTCTTTTCCGCATTTTGACATTTCCACTAAGCAACAAGTTCATAAAAGTCCAAAGTCGAGTCTTGGAAGTCTCCCATGATCTCATCACCGTAATTCTATTTAGACAAAGGATTCTTTTTGTTTTTCGGTGATGGATTGTTGGAATTTTCTGGGGTTCTCTCTTCTTATTTCCCTTCATATCTGTTCCGGTTCAGCTGAGATCAATGGATCGGTTCTTCAAATGAAAAGAGGAACTTCTTCTGTACCCCTTGATCCCAGTCGTGTTACTCAACTCTCTTGGCACCCTAGGTAGATCTAATTTCTCTCTTCTTTTTGGCATTTTATAATTTTTTTCCCAGTGTGATTTTGTCAAAACTGTGGAATTTATGGGGTTTTTTTTGCAGGGCTTTTATTTATAAAGGATTTTTATCAAGCGAGGAATGTGATCACCTTGTTACTCTGGTAATTAACATTTTTTTACTTGTTTGTTGAGAATATCGATATGTGATTTTAACCCTTGTAAAAAAAATTTGAGTGAATTTCAGGCTAAGGATAAATTAGAGAAATCAATGGTGGCTGATAATGAATCAGGCGAAAGCATTGAAAGTGAAGTTCGAACCAGCTCTGGCATGTTTCTTCAGAAATCTCAGGTATTGTAAATTACCCTTTTCCCCTTTTTTGATAAGAATATCATTAGCTCCAAAAGCAAAGTTTTGATACAAAGTATAACTGAGAAATGCTAAACTAAGCCCGGATTCCTATAGAGTTGTACAATCGATTACCCTTTTTTTCTTTTATATATAATTTTCATGTTTTTTGTGTTCTTCATAAGTAACCAATTTTTGGATGGTAGTTTGTCACAGATGATGCACTGGATGTGTTTTTCCCTTGGTGATTCATTCACACTTAATATTAGGGCAACTTCTTTACCAAAAGAATCCTTCTTTATTGAATGTATTGGATGTTAAAGAGTTGGACTCCCTCTTACTGGCTTATGCATTTGGGATTATTGATTTCCGTTAGCATTGTATTAGAACTCCCGATTTTGAATCCCGACAAATGCTTTCCTCAATCCTTTTATCTTCACTTTGGTTTACTTGCAAATCCATTAATCATTCATCCTGCTTGCAGTGAGGTCCAGTTTTGAAGTTTAGGTATAATAGTTATGTTCTATACTTCTATCTTGTCAGCTTAAGCCTTGGGAATAGTTGATCACTCGATTTAAAAGAAAGAAATGTCAAAAAATAATTTTACTTATGATTACTTCCATGGATGCAATCATGATTGGTATCAGCTACATCTTTCATTCAGTTTAGATATTGTTTACGTTTGGAAAGTGTTGTATGTGCTTGTTCTTGAAGTTCAAATACTTATGTGGTGTCCTCTATTTCTCATCGGAAGGATGAAGTAGTTGCTGATATTGAAGCTAGGATTGCTGCATGGACCTTCCTTCCAGTAGGTATGTTTTGTCGGTTTCTCATTGTTACTCTCTAAAATTTCTTACTTATTGTGGAAAAGATATTTTCTCATCTTACTTTAATACGGAACCCCAAACAGAGAATGGGGAATCCATGCAAATACTACACTACGAGCATGGTCAGAAGTATGAGCCACATTTCGATTATTTTCAAGACAAGGCTAACCAAGAGCTGGGTGGTCACCGTATTGCCACCGTACTCATGTATTTGTCTGATGTTGAGAGTGGTGGAGAAACTGTGTTTCCGAATTCTGAGGTAAACATTGATTTGACTGTGATTTCTTTTTTGTGTTTTGCTGTCTTCCTATTCTATCATTGTTCATTTTGTGTTGTTCATCACTCATCAATTTGCTTTTATGTAGGGAAAACTTACTCAGCTCAAGGATGAAAGCTGGTCAGATTGTGCCAAAAATGGATATGCAGGTATTATTATGAACCTGTTAATAAAAATTGTTTTGATTCCAACTGATAAAATCTCACTTGAGTGAACAAGTATATGAATATAAAAGAAAATTCTTTTATTTGATTTAAAGTCTATTTTGATCTTGATCTTCTTTGATATAGCAGTGAAATTATGTTTTCCGTTGTTTACCTTTTATTTCCGAATATTACCCCACTCATATGATTGGCTTGCGATCTGTATTCGAATGAATTCGCCAGATTCATACGAAACTTCTGTATCATGCTTCTAGGTTTTTTTAATTGTTCTGGGATAAAATTGTTGCGTTAGAAATCCAACGATATAATCATCAACCATTTATCTGACACTATTGTACTGGTCGTCCTTGCAGTGAAACCCAGAAAAGGCGATGCTTTGCTGTTCTTCAGTCTTCATCTTGATGCAACACCTGATTCCGACAGTTTGCATGGAAGCTGCCCGGTGATAAAGGGTGAGAAATGGTCTGCAACAAAGTGGATCCACGTCAGGTCTTTTGATGTATCAAAGAGAGATTCTGAAAATGGGGATTGTGTTGACGAAAACGAGAACTGCCCTATCTGGGCTTCAACCGGCGAGTGTAAAAAGAACCCTGCTTATATGGTGGGTTCTGAAGATGCTTACGGGTACTGTCGGAAGAGTTGTAAGGTATGCTCCTCGTAGAAATTTCTTTGAGTTACGCCCAATGCACACGCATATCAGAGGATTTGTATCTTTTTAGCTGTGGAATGTCATACATTATACTGAAGATGGTTATCAGTTATTTTTGTATCATCTCTATTTTGTTCTTCCCTTCCACAAAAGAGGAGTAAATGCTGCAGAGTTTGAAGCAAATCCCTTATTTTTTGTTCCCTCAAATAGAGAGAATGAAAACAAGAATATAGTATCAATCATATGTTGAAGCAATCAGTATTAGTTTCATCAAGAAAGCAAAGGGGCAAAACAAATACATCTCTTCAAGGCACAAGAACAAACAGTTTAACATGTTTATTGGTATCATACAAACTATTTATAACAGATATAAAAACCCAACTCTACGTTGATTCATTATCTTGGTCATTGAAAATCAGAGGGAAATCATCAAACTGTTCCGTAAAACCTTTTTCCTCGGCCATGGTTTGCAATGACTGATAAACCTTGAACATGGACCATCTGTTCTTTGGCTGAGGAGCCATGCAGTTGCATGCGATTTTGAGGAACCGCAGAATTTCTTCATCGTGGCCTTTTCCGCAGAGATCTTTGTCGACGGCGTCTTTGATTCTACCGGAGTTGGAGAGATGATTTACCCAATTCACCAAATCACCTTTGAGTCCTTCTTCACCTGCATTGACCTCTAGGGGTTTTTGCCTAGTTACCAATTCAAGAAGCACAACACCGAAGCCGTACACATCAGATTTCATTGAAGCGAACATGGTGCTTGAACTCTCCGGTGCTATATAACCGGATTCACTTATATTAATATCGGAAGAAATCATAAGGTTTGCCAATCCAAAGTCCATTATCCTAGCATCAAAGTCCTCATCGATAAGAATCACATTGGAACATATGTTCTGCTGCAGAATCGGAGGTTGACACCCATGGTGCAGCCAAGCTAGACCCCTGGCTGCACCCAAACCTATCTGAAACCTAGTCGGCCAGTCCACAACAGCAACGCTCTCATGTAACAAGGAATACAGAGTCCCATTCGACATATGCTTAAAAACCAGCAGCTTCTCTTCCTCAACCACACAAAACCCCAAAAGGGGTGTCAAATTCGGATGCCTAAGTTGGCCTAATCTATTCATCTCCCATCGAAACTGCTTCTCGCCGAGCTTGCAAGCCATCAGCCTCTTGATCGCGAGGGCTGATCCATCAGGGAGCACCGCCTTATAGGTAGTTCCGGTCCTGGTCGAACCTATGATGTTCTCCGCACTGAAATTGTTGGTTGCAGCCAATAAATCAGCCAATTTAACCTTCACAAGTGGCTTCTGGAACAATGAGACTTGAGCCAATTTATAAGCCCTAAGTCTCTCAACCCAACTGTTATCATCTCCCCTTCCAAAGAAACCTTTTTTCCTCCTACTCACCCTTTTCAAGTGGAACCACCACCAAACCCCAAATGCCAACAACATTGAAGCCGCTGCACCAAAAACACCAGCTGCGATTATGATGGCTAAATTCCTCTTACTCAAACCCCCACACTTTCCAAGAGGAACCCCACAAAGATCATTATTCCCAACAAAATCTGCCTTATCACTGTTCTCAAACGATGAAGGAATAGCACCCGATAGATCATTATTCGCTACAGAAAACTTCTTCAGCCTGCTTAAACTAGATAATTGGTACGGGATTTGACCCGAAAGCCTATTATTCGACAGTATCAAATTATTCAGATAAGCGCAATTTGATAACTCGGGGGGAATCGAACCATACAGATCGTTGCTAGACAAATCGAGGGTTACTAAATAAGGTAACCAAGAGCATATCTGGGGAGGGATCATACCGGAAAGCCTGTTTGCCGACAGATCCAAGGTCTGTAAACTCCGACAGTACTCTAAAGATTGAGGCAGCTGTCCTGAGAGCTTCATGTCTCGGAGCTGGAGACTTAAGAGGCGATTCTCTTGTTCATTCCAGCAAGAAACGCCGACGAATTTGCATATAAAACCGACGGAATTGTTGTTGAAATTCCATGAACTTAGCTTCCCATCTGGGTCATTTAGAGAATTCTTGACGCCTTCCAAGCACTTCAGATCATCTTCCGCAACGGCTGAGAAAACAAGTGCTGGCAAAAGAATACATGGGAGAACAAAGCCGAAGAACTTTAGTTTTCCAGAAAAAGATCCCTTCATGGTTTTTTCACAACAAAGAAACAAAAGAGAACAAAAAAAATCCCAGAACTTTTGTTTGTGACTTAGATCATAACAACAACACTGAATTTCATGTGATAAAAATTTGATATTTGTTGAGAAACGAGATCGCTTGGAAGGAAGCAAAATCCGGGCGTGAAGGCGGCGAATGGTCTAAAAGAGGAAGAGCCAGTGAAGGGTCTTTGACTTGGAGATGTATATGAGAAATTACCGAACACCATTATTGATTTGTATTTATTTTCTGTAGAGCTACCAATATTTTTTTATTAACAGTAGTGGTATTGCTATTGGGGAGTGCTTTTTGTTGAAGACATTTTTTTCCGTTAATTTGAAGATGATCGTGCTTTGATGTTACGTCTTGTTCGACTTTAAGATTGATTTATGATAAAATTATTTTAAGGGCAAAGTACTAAATAATTTTTTAAGTATAGATTGTTATTTTATTAAGTCTTCTAACTATTAAAAATTATAAAATTATTTTTCGATTATAGGATGTTGTTTTACTGAATCCATCAATTATTAAAATTTATAAAATGATTATCCGTTTATTTGATTGTTTCAAACTCATTTTTCGTTAATAAACTAGTGATTCTTTTAGTTAGACGTTAACATATTGAGTGAGATATAATAAAATTATATTTTAATGATGTCTATCGGCGTCATTGTTGTTTTCAAACATTGGCTCGACATCATAATGTTTTAGTTGTTGGCTGAACGACATAACATAAGCAGAGAGTTACCATAAAATACAACTTAAATGATTCTGTGATCAAATTTTATCATATCACACTCAATAAGTTAATATCCAACTCAAACGGTCGCCAATTTTTTAACGAAAAATAACAAGTTTGAAATATATGAATAACATGTGACCATTTTATAACTTTTAATAGACGAGAGATTCAATAAAATAACGTCTTATAACCAGAGATATTTTACAACTTTCAATTTTCGTGATTCAACAAAATAATACCCTTAACCAAAGACTATTATTGTACTTCATCTTAATTTTAAAATAATTTTGGTTCAATGTCTTATTAGTTTATATATATATAAAAGTTTTTATCTTCGCTAATTGTGTTAAATTAATTAATTAAATCATTTTTACATTAATCTTAATATATATATATATATATATATATATATAAAAATAAAAATTATAACAAAAGCATAAGCTGACATAAGAAAGAGAAGGTAATAAAAAATATTGTTTTAAAGAAATATTTTAACCAAAGGATTAATTGAGAATTTGTTGATCAAGAAACTCTAACATGCTTAACGAAAGATATTTTATTTTATAAAATATGTATAAAATTTAAATTCAAAATCCTATCCATAAGATATTTTATTTTATTTTGTTAAAAGTAATAAATATTGGTATAAATATTTATTATTTTAATGGTATTATTCATTTTAAAATATTAAAACATTAATTACAATGTAGTAGTAAATGTTTTGATCTTATATGTTGGCAGTATGATTTAGCATAAACTAAACGATCTTAACAATTAAGGAGATGATTGATATCTTAAAAAGTTTTGAGTTCGAACATCTCGTCTATAGAGGTAATTGATAATTTATTATTGTATTGTTAAATGTATGGGCAGAACTTCGTGGGGTCAAGGGAAACCTGGTCCCATCAATTATTCTTTTAAGTATTAATTTATATATTTGAAAAGTAAATAGAGAAAAATTTACTAGTTCCCTCAATTAAAAAAATGTATTTATGAAAAATAAAAAATAGGTTATCCCCGCTATAAGAAATTCTTAGTTTTATCCCTGGTCAAATGATTAAGACTTAAAATATTCCAAACAGATACTACCTCATCACTTTACGTGCTTTTCTATACCATAGTTTACCCAATTACCTTTCAACAAATGTAATTACTTTACTTTGACATATACTATCACATCTTTCCAGCAATATGTTTAAACTTAAGGTGTTACAAATAAGTACGGTTAAGAAAAACGTAAGCCTCGAGTTCGGAGGAGGTGGTCGCCTCCACCACCTTCGTTTTTGCTGTTTCACGCTCTACTAAGACCGCTTCTCTCTAGATCCTAAATGCCTAACTCAGTGACGTCGAATCATTTCTTGTTCTTTGAATAAGGGATTGATCGGCCCTGCTCTGGTTTTTTTGGGGATTTGGTTCTGTTGGCTTTCGTCTAGCTTGGTGAGATTGTTTCATTCCCCACCAGCTAGGGCTGAGCAACGAAACCGAAAAAACCGACACGAACAGAGTAAAACGATTTGGTTCGGTTCGGTTTGGCATTATACGGTTCGGTTTTCGGTTCGGTTTAAAGTCTCCATTCTTTTGATTCGGTTCGGTTCGGGTTTTCCATATAGAACCCATTTGTTCCATATTGAACCGAATAGGCACTTTTTTAAAAAAAAAAATTAAAGTTTCAAGTGATTTTTTCATTGAAAAACTGATAAACCGAACCGAAAAATCCTAACCGTAAAAAAAATCGAACCGAATCGAAAAAACCGATTTCAGCTTTTTTCGGTTTTTTAACTATTCGGTTTCGGTTTAAATTTTGAAAAACCGTTTATTTCGGTTCGGTTCTATTTTTGGTAAAAAAACCGAACCGAATACACCCCTACCACCAGTTGTGTTTTCTCCTGTTTCTATTGATTGATGTTTCGTGCTTGAGATCTGGGTTGAATATAAAATTAGTTTCATATTTCAAATTTACTGTGTGGGTTTCTAGTAAGTTTTCGGGAGTTAGGTTGTGTTGGCTTAAACAACATGCAAGTTGTTTGTGATAATGCCATAGTGATCCAGTCCATTGCTCGTTTGGAAAATATAGTTTGAGTGAGAGTGATTAAGGTCTTCCTGCGAATTCTGCTTCGGTGTTTGTGGCTACTCTACCAATCTCCATTATTGGTGGACTGTGTTTTGGTGGGTGGGTTCAGTTTTGTGCTTTGGTGTTCTGTCGCGTTTGTTTGAGTGTTGTTGCTAGGAGGTGGCGAATGTTGAGTCTTGTCGTCAGAAGGGGTGTGGCTGATCAAAGTATTTCTGCGAGGGTGATCTCTGTTGTTCGGTCGGAGCGAGAAAATATTGCGGTGGCAAAGTTTTGTGTGGGTGAGGCAGTGGGCGTTGTTCTCTCAGCCTCGAAAGGGGTGATTCAAAGATCAGGTGAATGGGGTTAAGCATTGTTTTGGGGAATGAAGAGGTTGTCGGAGATGGTGCTCTGACATGTAGGTTAGCACGTGCTGGTCTTTTTGTAGATTTTTGGAAGTCGTCGGGTGATTGCAAGCTCCTATTCGAGCTTCAAGGTTTTTATTTGTTTATGGTTAGCAAATGATGTCTTCTATTTTGTTTCCAATGCGGGTAGTCTAGCGTGAACCTTCTGGTTTCTTGTCTGGTATCTGCTTTCCAATAGCTCTTGCGGTTGTAAACACTTCGGTCCTTGGATGTATCTATTGGCAGCTCGTGTAAGTTGGGTCAGCTGGGTGTTTCGTGTTAGTTTTTGAACTCTCGTTTTATGCTCAGTCCTTGGACGAAACTGTTGGCAGCTTGTGTTAGTAGGGAGTTGTGTACCATAACAAATCTGCTAGATACTGTTGGGCATTTTCCTCAAGGTTGCATTGATCTTTAGAATTTCGTGTTTCTTGTCCTTCTGCATTGGAACAGTTTCAGCAAGTGTGGTTCTCCTTGTTTCAGAGCTAGTCTTTGTTCATGCTCTGGTTGCGGGTGTTGTTGTGTTTGATGTGTTGGGCTCGTTACTTTGGTTATGTTGTCGGTTAATGTAACACCCTTAACCCGTAAATGTCTCAATATACTAGTCAAAGATGTCACATCAACTTGAAAACATTTACTGAACTAAAATTTTCGTAAAAATTTGTTTCTTTTGAAAACACTCTGGTTCTAACTTTAAAAATATATTTTAAAGTATATTTCAGCTTATAATTTATTTCTTTATTACAGGAAAATAAATTCATTATTTATTCAGTAATTTTACTAAACCATATCTTTTCGTAAAATCTTTTAAAAACATAATAATGTAGTAAATTCTTGTCATACATAGTTACCGATAAAACTAAATTAAGTAAAATAAACTAAAATAATTCTAGTTTATTATTACAAATTATTTAAAATAAATACGATAATTATAAACTATTGACATAATTATACATGCCACTATAAGTCAAAAGAAACGTCATAGACATCTTACTGATACTGATGATATGTATGTCTTTCCAGAAAGATGCTCCGATAGCTCCTTACAGATCGTACTTATCCTTATTAGAACCTACGCATGAAAATCATCACGCGCTAAGTATAACTTAGTGAGGCAATAATAATCTAGGGTGAGTAAAATCTGAAATTTATCATAAACGTAAATAAAATAATTCAACTTAAAACATTAAACTGGCAAACCAACTTATCCAAGTCGATTTCTTCACTGAGACCTGAAATTTCTTTTTAAATCATGAACTCATGAAAATTCTGATAAATCATATCTAATAAAATAAGCACATCATGCTTTCTGTTAACTGAAAATCATTCACAACTTGCATATTCATTTTCATAGCCCAATGCATATTTATAAGAACATAAGATACGTGAGTAAGGTGCGCACTATGCACAACACGGTGCAAATCATAACTGATATTGAGATATGATGCACTTCAGTGCCATCATAACCTAAATAAGCACCAACGGTGCTGGACATTGATACACGAATGTACCAAAGCTGATAGGATAACATTGATACACGAATGTACCAAAGCTGATAATACTCAACTAATGGCATGCCAAGTGTACCCATAATTCTCATTATACATACAATGGGCTCATGTGTCATAATTAAATCCATAATCAAAATATCATGCTTGGGCAGTTCATACCCTAAATCATTCATAAAACTGATATAAAATATTATGAAAATAATCTTTATAAATCATACTATAAATTGGAACGAGGTTGACTTATCGCAAGTCGTCCTCGATCAAAATAAATAAATAACTGCACTCACCTTTGCCTCACTACAGAACTTGTATATAATAATCCTAGTCACGAGCTTTGTCCTTTCCTTTCGAATCGTTCGGATTGCTAGATTTAACGTAGTCTGACAATACCAAATTATAAAACAAAAATTGTTCGAACTACATATTAGTATCGTACTAATATAAGCTCGTTTTAACATTTGAAAATCTATATAGTAAAATCGATAACAACCATACTCATAACTCCATTATAACTTCAAACTTATCGAAAC